ACCACAACATCAAAAATAGGCCAAAAGGAAGCGGCAGATATTACTATAAAATAAAAAAAAAACAACATCCTTGCAAATTATTTAAAAACAAAGCACACCCCGTAAACTATTAAACTTAATGTAGGAACTATTAACCCTTCAATTTTAGTAATTCTTTATTTATTAAACGCTTTCTATATATCACTTAACTGTCAATATATCATTTCCATATAGTGTAATTTTATATTCATTTGTATAAAATATAATAAATTATTATTCAGCAATGCTTCTTTAAACAAATTTGCATGTTTATATAAATTAGTAAACTCGTTAGTAAACTGTGAGACGTAAGACGAGATGAGATGAGATGAAATTAAATAAAATTAAAATATTTTTTTTTAATTAAGTTAATTTCATTTGTAGTTTCCTGATGCTAATATGTCCAGTTAATAATATTACTGGCAACTGTTTTATTGCCCTCTGTTAAATCACCACAACGTCTACAACTGACAATGTCTGTCTACCCCATCAGTGATAACAGTCATGAAGCTAATTATTCTTTTTGTATAATGATTATGATAATGCGTTTGTCGATCAAACACTTAGCTATCTTGATCTCAAATCAATACACGCTCTCATGCAAATTTATTCCATAGTACACATATATACATGGTTGAAAATAGCCATGAATCTTATTTAATGGCACGATTTGTATTTAATTATTGTTTTAATAGCTACTTCACGTGGCTTCGATTATCTTCTAACCCGTGGGAGTTTACAGAAATTCTTTGACATACAACTGTACCGGAAGACTTTGTTTACAGTGCGGACAAAATATTGACGGCCTCGGTGGTCTAGCGGTTTAGCACACCGCCTTACTTCCGATGGTCGTGAGTTCGATTCTCCGCGCGGTACAAACATTTTTATTCACGAGTATGATTGTTTGTATCGGTCTGGGCGTTTTCTATGTATAATATGTATGTATTTACGAAATATAAAAAATATATCTATGCATTTGTATGTGTTGACTGTACTACACAAGCTTTAGCTGGCTTAACTTGGGACTAGATGGCGCTGTGTGAATTGTCCTGAGATTTATTATTCATTATTATTATTATAAGATACATTTTTTTAACGACCTCGGTGGTCTAGAGGTTTCGCACACCGACTTCCTTCCTAGGACCCCGAGATTTCTCGCAAGGTACAAACATTTGTATTCATGAGTATGATTGTTTGTTTTAGTCTAGGTATAATATTTATTCAAATTAGGAAAGAATCTTTATTCAAATAAACTTAGTATAAGCACTTTTTAGTAGTAATATTTATTATTCTACCACTCATTCGGAAAGCTGTCTCTTTGCAAGAAGAATGAGCAAGATACTTGCGTGTTGCTCTATTAAATAAATGTTCAACAGCACACATTTTTATGATTTTATCTGCAAATAGCCAACTGCCAAATAGAAGAATTGACAAAAGTGTCATGATTTGCTATAAATACTGTCTTAATAATGGAATAAAATGTGGGTTGTTGCCGCTATCGCAAGAAAGTTAATAGAGAGGTTATGCCGTGTAGATAGCAGTGCCATATTCTCCAGACTACCTTTCTAGAATGAATACCTGTGCCTATGGCTAGTCTATGGCATGCCATGTCACATTGATGGTGAGGCAACAGCGACTACTAGGGAGAGAATACATTTGAGAGGACACTTAGGTCTTGATAGTCGAGTAGTGAACAACTAAGTACTACCATTTACAGTTAATATAATAAAAGTAAATAAACCTAATAGTCACTTGAGTAAAAAAATAGATCAGTGAACGAAATAGGTCAGTTATCAGACCAGATCAAAACTTATCCCTGTTGTCTATATTAATCAGTATCTAAGTAGTATTTTTGGGTTGTCCGCAATCAATCAAATCAAATCAAACGATTAGAGACTCTTATATGTCAAATCTACCTTCAGTTCCGAGTGATTTTGAGCTGAGAAGAATTGACAAGAACTCGACCTGAATTATCACGTCGAGTTCTTATCAATTCTTCTTAGCTACTATACTATTTCATTAGCGTTGTAATCGGTTTCTTAGTAGCCTGAACACGTTATTATTTTCAAATGGGTTGAATATACTTTACGGGCGTAACTAAAAATAGCTATATTTGTGTTTTTCTGCACATTTTTCTTACATAATTATGAATGTGACATAAAGTAACTTATCACTTCCGTTATAAACAGATAACGCAGTTTAAGATGACATACAAGTGCTAATTATAACTGGCGATCACGTTTTGTTTTTATGTCACGATGGTATTAATAGAAACCCACGTGCTCTAGTGGTTTACTACCCTGACTTAGACCGAAAGGTCATAAGTTCAAATATGACCGCAACCAAAAAAATTAAAAGTTATATTTCTGATCGCTTCTCTGTAATTTTTTAATTGTTTATCATCCCTATGTTCCACAATTACAACTGATACCTTAAGGTTGCCTTGAAAAAAATGCTTAGTTATACAAATCTAAATATATATAACTCAAAGGTGACTGACGTAGTGATCTATCAACACACAGCCCAAACCACTGGACAGATCGGGCTGAAATTTGGCATGCAGGTAGATGTTATGACATAGGCATCCGCTAAGAAGGGATTTTAATTAATTCTACCCCCAAGGGGATAAAAAAGGGGATGAAAGTTTGTAAGAAACTTTGTCAATATTAAACCGATCGGGCTGATACTTTGCTTGCATAAAGCTACTATGACGTAGGCTTCCCCTAAGAAAGGATTTTGATAAATTTTACCCCTAAGGGGATAAATTAAAGCGAGCGAAGCCGCGGGCAAAGACTAGTGTCCGTATAAGTGTTTCGGTGTAATATCTCTTTTCTGTATAATGTAAATAAAAGTATATTCTATCCATCAATTCTAATTTATTTACGATATCATGTCGTCCTCCACGCGGTTCCCCCTGGAAACTGGTGAATTTGTTACTATGGGCTGAACTCGTGCTCATTTTATTATACACCACTGGTACCCTAACCTTACTGTTATTTCTTGTCAGTTCTTCTCAGCTCGAAGTTACTCTAAACTGACGGTAGATTTGACATATCATAACAGTTTTTAATAAACCTACATGAATAAAGATATTTTGAATTTGATTTGATATACCGTTATCCTAAGCAGGTACACACCATACCATTGTCTATTAAAAAGAATCCTCTGACTATCCTTTTTGGGATAACATTCTTGAAGGTATATTTTATTATTTATATTTATTTATGGTATTAATAGACGTCAGGTTGTGTACCTAACATTCAATTAGAGGTGTGATGCTTGCTCAGCATCTCTATGGCACGGAACGTGTTTAAACATGTGGATTGATTTGCATTGCAAATATTTGCACTCGGATTAGGTTTTAAAGTAAAGTCGACATCGACGCGTCAAAACATAGTCTATCACACTAATATTAAAAAGAGGAAAGATTTGGACTTTAAATAGCCTCGGTGGTCTAGAGGTTTAGCACACCGCTTTAACTCCGATGATCGTGGGTTCGATTCCTGGCACGGTACAAACATTTTTATTCATGAGTATGATTGTTTGTATCGGTCGGGGCGTTTTCTATGTATAATATGTATGTATTTACGAAATATAAAAAATATATCTATGCATTTGTATGTTCATATTCGTGAGTATGATTGTTCGTATCGGTCTGGGTTTTTCTGGGTATATTATGTATGTATTTACAAAATAAAAATATATCTATGTATTTGTATGAGTTGTCTAGTACCCATAAGTCAACCTTTTAGCTTACAGTGGGACCAGATGGCGATGATGATACATTATTTGTTAATTGTCCAACATTATTTATTTATACATGTACAAAAAGAAAATCTATATATTAATCTTATTGTTTGCAAGTAAAATATTCAAAACATCTAAGTGGAAATAAATAACTTATAATATAATACACAAATAAAACACATACTGATATTTGTACCGTGCGAGGAATCGAACCCGCGACCATCGCAAGTGAAGCGGTGTTCTAAACCGGTAGATAACAGAGGCCGTCAAAATTGTATGCCATTAGTATAAAAAATAGTTACATAAAGCTGTAATGAAAAATGAATATAATAAGAATTGTTATTGTTAATGATTTATGTGCTATACTAATTAATTTATAGGTACTTGGATTACACGACGCTGTAATTTCTTCTTTCACTATTAGAACTCAAACAAAAGAATTTATTCATATTTATATGCGTATGTAACTTCAAGATCAAATTATTATCACAGTAAAGAATAAGTGAGACGACGTCCTGATGTGACCATCCCGTTGTGTCAAGTGCCCGGGCAACATTGTATGAAGGTGACCCACAATTGATCTAGATACAAGGGGTCCACCCACTACTCATTAATTGGACCTCATGTATGGTCTACTACTATACAAATGTTTACGAAACAAAAATGACAAATAATAATTATTGAGGACAATTCACATAACGCCATCTAGTCCCAAGCTAAGCAGAGCTTGTGTTATGGTACTAGACAACTGATATAAATACTTAGATATACATTTCTTGTAAATACACACATAATATACACAGAATACACCGATACAGACAATCACACTCATGAATACAAATGTTTGCACTGTGCGAGAAATCGAACCCGCGACCATTGTAAGTAAAGCAGTGCGGCACTAAACAGCTAACCATCGAGACTGCCGAATATATACATATATAGAAAATATCTCGATTGAAAAACAGATATACATGTCTGTACCGTACGAGGAATCGAACTCGTGACATTGGAAGACGGTATGGTAAGAAAACCATGTCATGATATATATATTTACTCATTTTTTTTTATACTACTATGGTGGCAAAGAAGCATACGGCCCATCTGAAGGTAAATATTTACGACAGCGTATGGAAACACCAGGGGTGTCACGTGCGCGTCGCCGACCCTTAAGAAACCTTAATATACCCTTCTTGAAAAACCCTCGTATCATTATAATATTAAAAAAAAAAACTCACCTGTCCATAACGTGACGAAGTTAAATGCACATTTCTGTTCTTCAAGAAGTCGGGTCTCTTTCCCAATCCATAGTTGCTCTTCTGCGATATGAATTTCTTTGGTCTGTCCAGTCTTTCTGTGGAACCTGTTTCGTTTTCCTCATCCGTCCGCTTCGAGGTCGAGGGTATACCTCTGTAGGCACCCCTGGTGCCCCTTATCGTTTTCTCCGGAGACTTATCCTGCTTCCTCGTAATAAGGTTCTCTTTTCTTTGCTTGTTTCTCAACGAAACATTTGATGACATATCCATGATGCTCCATTAATCAATAAGAAACTCTACTGCATTTGACATATACCTCACTTTTATATTCGTCTACTTTCTCTATCATTATCCAATAAATCTTTGTGATTGGCGAATTAAAAAAACATATTCGTATTAAACTATACAATACAATGGATAAATAGAAAATATAATTATAACAGATTATTAATAATAATTGATAATTAATTAATTAAATAAATAGCTAAATCCGTCTTTTGATTCTCTCTCACTATTTTGCCTGCTTCTTTTGTTACCGCTCCGAACTTTCTTTAGAACTACGAAAAAGCTATGTATAATTTAAACAGTCTTGAGGATTTTTAATTTGGAAAGTTGTTTTGCAGGATTGTTTGTTGTTGTTATCTGTAACAAGGAAATGTTCAGGTTAAGATCTGTGGCATTATATGACAAGTCGTTAGGTTTAAAAAACAATTGCTATTATGGGCGAAATAGTTTTTTTGTGATAAAATATCCATATCCATGCTCGTGATACAATCGATCTGTAAAATTATACATAATATTAGAACCGATGAAATTGTGAAATGGTGACAAGTAGGCTGATGGTAACTGGTAACCGTAGTTTATCTATACATATAAATAAAATTGAAATAACCGTTTTTTACTACACGCATATGAATATAAATACGGTACATACACCAAAATAACATTTGTTACAATTTTCGTCTGTCTGTTCCGGCTAATGTCTGAAATGGCTGGACCGATTTTGACGTGACTGTTTTTGGAGTAACTTAGGCTACTTTTATTTTAGGATATAAAGCAAAATTCCACGCGGACGAAGTCGCGGGTACAGCTAGTATACAAATAAACAGCGCAGTTGATATCACGAAATACACTGTGACAGCCATGTCCCCATCTTATTCGTTTCCATTCACAAGGACTACGGTATTATGACTAACATATGTACACTAAATTCTTATCTAACTACTACATACACTAAGTTTGTTTACATTGAATAGTTTCAAAAATACTCGATCGATTTGAGAAAAATTTTTTTTAGTTTAGACCCCGGAATACCACTGGGATACCTGATGAACAAAGACAATAGGATATTTTCAAAAACGTTAGGGATATGAAAACTTCGATAATATAACCTAACGTATGTATGCGAAGCCGAGGTGGAACGTCTTATAAAATAGAAGGTTCTCAATTGGACTAAATGAAATAACATATATAACTCAGCTCGCTCCATTCTTTTAAAAACTTATGGTCATTTTGCATTAATATTTTGTAACTATTTACAGTGATTTCATGTACTTAATGTTTTCTTTCGGATAAAGAAAATATTAAGAAACAATAGTCGTGAAAGACATTAACATAGTAAGTTCATAAGTGTCCATAGGTAACCGTTGACCATCAGATGGGGCGTATGCTTGTATGCCAACGTCGTAGTTTTATACTACGATATAATATATATGGCTCACTCTCACTAATACTGAGCTCTGTAACATTCTGAAAGCAAGTTCGCCTTTTCGGTGTAACAGTAATTTTTAGCCAACATAAAAGAAGTGGATCTTTTTATCTTTAAAAAATCTATTTCTACTATTTATTTATTTTTATAAGACAATATCTACCGGTTTAATATTAGTTTGGTGGGGGGAAAGGGGATTGTTAGTAATGTGAACTGATGGCCCAATGTACCATGTCAGGTTAACCTCCACGCGGTTCCCCCCTGGAAACTATCGTGATTCCTGGTGAATTTGTCACGATGGGCTAACTCATGGTGGTCAACCTGATATGGTACATCGGGTCATCAGTTCACATTACACACACATTACATACACCTGACCTTATGTTTATCTTATCACCCTCCACTGGTGGCCTGCCAGCGTATACCGTTAGTGCAGGCGGGAGCACTATTCCGATATCAAATACATAATAAAATACCACAGGTAATTCGAGAGATGGCGTTAAATAGATTTAAAAAAGAATTACACCAATGGCTCGTTAAAAAATGCTGTTACTCTTTGCGGGAATTGACCTGACATCTGATATTCTTATCTATAATGTAATTTAATTGTAAAGGTAATTGTTATGAATTGTAATTTGCATGCCCCCTGAATATGAGGCGAACATTTGTACTATTGTTGTAAATGTTGAAACAAATAAATTATCTATCTATCATACGTTAAAACCAAAACACTAGTCTGGCAAAACTTGAAATATATTTTTTATATGAATGCTGCACTAGTAGCAACCCTATGGTATATAAATAATAATGCACATCTCAGTGGGATGACGGTTAAACAGTATTGTTATCAAGGGTCGATGACTCACACATATCTAGAACGAAAATAACTTGCCAGCTAAACTTAGCACTATACATATGACTATGGGAGGAATAAATACTTTTTAATTGTCATTAATACTATACTCGCTATGTCTGCGGTTTCATCCTCGTGAATTTAAAGCGTTTGTTATTCTGATGTATGAGCTAAGTTTCATTAAAATCCATTCAATAGATTTTGCGTGAAAGAGTAAGAAACACCCATCCATAAACACAAACTTCCATTTTTATAATAAGATAATCTATACAAATAAATAAATGAGTGAAGGGGGTTAATAAACTGGTCTAGTGTCCCCATTGCTAGATTGTACCATGTTAGGTCGACCACCACGCGGCTCCTCCTGGAAACCATAGTGGTTAATTCCTAGTTATATAATTACGATGGGCAAACTGACCTGACCTCATACCTGACCTTATATTACTGTAACTTCCATGAAAATCCGTTCAGTAAGTTTTTATGTGAAAGAATAACACATCCATCCATCTATACTCAACAACGTTTGCGTTTATAATATTAGTAAAACGTAAATATACTAACACATGTATGTTTGTACGTAATCAAAATAAACTCAGCTGTTACACAATAATTCAGAGATAATCACAGCTGTCATTTGTCTAATTAAGATATTTCATTTGGAAGATTACCATACCTTGATAATTCACATCCAGGTCTAACTGTAATTTATATCTACACTAGCTGTGCCCGCGACTTCGTCCGCGTGGTATACTGACCTTGGATAGCATTTTAAATTATTTAGGCTTATTAAATAAATAACCCTGGACAACCACAGCGCTACCTAGTCCCACGGTAAGACATTAAAAAAAAATCAAAATATCCTTATATAGGTTCATCACAGACTCTAATGATATATCAAATCTACCATCAGTTCGGAATGATTTCGAGATGAGAAGAACTGACAAGAAACTCAGCTCATATTTTCAAATAAATGTCATACATGTTTACAATAATACAGGTTCATTTTTAAATTCAAATTTGGATAAATTGGGAGACCAAAGATACTTTAATATGATTTTATATTTATTTGTATATACACTCTGAGTTATAGACTATTTTGTCTCCTTCATTACTTTTAAATTTTATTATTGTATAGCAATTGTATCACTTTTTGTTTGAGACAAATAAAGATGATGATTATTATTATTATTATTTAATTAAATACAATGGTATCATCATACCGCATTTAACAAATTTTATCCTATTAGAACATAAAACATACTAATATTTTTGTTATAATAATTTAACTGGTTCTATATAATTTGCATAATTGACTTTGGATGAACATACACAGGTATCTATACATATAAATAAAATAGGAGTGTCTATTTTTTACTACACGCATATGAATATAAATATGGTACATACACCAACATATTTTTTTTTACATTTTTGTCTGTCTGTCAGTTTGTCTGTCTAATCTCTGAAATGGCTGGACCGATTTTAACGGGACTTTTATTGACAGGTAGCTGATGTAATAAGGAGTAACTTAGGCTACTTTTATTTAGAAAAATAAAGTTAAATTCCATGTGGATTATGTCGCTAGTACAGCTAATATATATACATGGATATTATAGGTTTAGTTGGACTATGTTAAGTAAACATAGTTATTTATAATACCAATGAAAAGAACTTCTCACAATTCACGTGGAAATAAATAATAAGTAATGAATGGCTTCAATGAACAAACCTGCAAATTGTTAATGTAAAATTTATAATTAATACTAAAATTAATTTGTTTTTAGAATTGCATTGTTATAATACAAATCAGTATTAATTTTGCAGATAAATAAGCAATATGTGATGACTGATGGATGATATTATTTAGATAAGATATGATAAACCAATCTTAATTTGAACACATTTGTCATACACACAATTTTTTTTATTGGTTGATAATGGTATGGTGCACCTATGCTAAATAATTTACATAACCAGCCACATATAGTCAGGTCGGTTAGCTTATTGTGGAAATTTTGCCAGGAATTTATCATGACGGTTTCCAGGGGAAGTCGCATGGATAACCATTTCAACCTGACATGGTGCATTGCTAACAAGGGGGTAATTATTCAGTACAATTACATTTTACCATGGCAGAAAGATAACTCAATAGAGTATAGCATACTGCTTTATTTTCAATGGTTGCTGGTTTGATTCCTGGCATGATGCGAACATTTGTAGACACGAGCGTGATTCTATATATTGGTCTAGATGTTTTATATGAATATGTATGTAATTAGGTTCTTCTATAAGTCACCCATAAGGCAAACAAAATAAAATAATAATAAATATTAATCTTAACTGAAATCAATACAAAGCTCAGAAATAAAATTATGACCTTACTATAGCTACTCAAAATATTCATTCGCTATTGCTTTGTAGTGTGAAATAATAGAAACTAATATTATTTTGTTTATAAAAATAATAATATTAATATTGATAATGCATTGATAAATTATTAAACAAACACAATATTGCAAATCAAAATAGATAAATCTAAAAAAATTATGATAAGTTCTAGATATCTTTCAATTGAATCAACAATTAATTAAAATATTTTCAAATTAGATACTACTGCCTGCATACAGAGAACATGGGCATGCAATATGACAATGAGTTTAAGTGCATTAACAAATGAATAATTATTTACAAATAAGCAAGTAACATGTTGCTTTGTTTACCGAGCCGTTCTGGTGACACGACCGTCGACTGCATCGTAATAAATGACCTACCTGTCAAGCCTCCACGAACTCACAGAAACTGCACGGTCACTATATTGCACTCACTCAACACGAACCAACAAAAGATCTATCCAAATAACACTTAAATGAAGAAAACGACGTGCCGGCTCGAAATTGTTACACGAAAAAAATGCGAAAGCGGGTTGCTGGGATGTCGCGCAGACGGTGCTACGTCAGATCCACCCAGCCATTGCACTTGCGTTGTATAGCGTTTTATTTAAAGATGTGCTAAAATCTGCAGACATCCGCCGATCTATTGCACTAAATGGCGCATAGCTGAATCAAGCTGAATAAATAGAGTAAAAAAACTGAAATGACAGTACGTCAATGTTGCAAAGGGATTTTCTAGGGAAACCCACGAGTTTTATACCTCGATAACACCATGGTGTGGTGGGTGAACGATTTTGTCGATACACTACTGTTACTTTAGCTACATTGATATTGGATTCTATAAATACTTACAAATAAAAATCTGGAATTACATTACACCATTGTTTTTTCTTCAGCACAATCAGTAATCGATGTTGCTACACTAGAAAAAAATTACCCGTCAAAAGTGGGTCATCTTCATCTATCATCGATCACCGAATGCACCGAATCACCGCGTTTTTTCTTTCATAACTGATCTTTCACTTTCACTTTTGTATTTATCAGTACAACATTACTGTATTTAAATCTAATTAAAAGAATATGAAAAAGTAGATTAACTATTTCGTATAATCATAGCATTATTAATAATTTAAATAGTTTCAGAATAAGTTATAAAAATATTTAACATTTCTACTAATTTATACATTTCAAATAATACTAATTTGAATTAGTTTTTATATTACGCTTTACATACATAGTTTAGTCATATTTATTAAATTTGTCAATTATATTATTGACATTGTATTTATTTGCATAAGAAACTTTAACAATGCGTTTAAATTGATACCATCACCAATATAGAATGTAAATTTTGCATGAAAAGGAACTACAGATGTGGTTGACATTGACATTTCATTTCGTTCAGTAATTGGATTGCAAAATGAATAGTAATGTTATAGTATTTAATATACTCTTTATTATATTTAATAGCTAATTAAAAAAGTTACGACTCAAAATTTTAATTCTCCAAGTTAAACTAACGTTTTTTTTTCTTATAAAGTGTAATAAAACTATTTTATCGCATAATTATTTATGTTACATCTGAAAGATGTAATCTTGACTTACGTGTAACTATAAATTAATTTCTGAACGCAAAACTGTGAGTGATGTCGATTGTGTACATGGCATAATTTTTAATTTTTCTGATATAATGCTGTGAAATAATGAAATGATTTAATTTTTAACAACTAAATCCAAAATGGCATTCGTCAGTGCAGTGACCGGCGATGACTCCACAAAAAAATTCATGGAGGTTTTGCAAAATGACTTCAGAAATCTAAGCTTAGAAACCAAGAAGAAATATCCTCAGATAAGAGAGGTTTTTATCCATTTATTGCTTTTTATGTTATTTAAATTGAAGTCCGTTTATCGCTGTTTGATCCAACTTTGTTTTTACATGGATTAGTCAATAGATATTTGAGATAATCTAAGAAAAATAACCTTGGTAATTATAGGCTGATTAGCTAGCTATTTAGCAGTTTTATTAAAGAAACTGCCTGACCTATTGTGTATTTACAAGGTGAAATAGTGTTAAATGAAAATATCTTGAATGCTAGGTTAAGTAAATATTTTCTTTAAGAAGTTCTTAAGTAAATATTTTCTTTAAGAAGTTCTGCTATTTGGTAGTAATATAAAGTGTGTAGAAATTATTGAATATGTGGTACCTATTACCAGCGATTTCATCTGCTTTTTTTTTAGAGTAAATATAGGCATATCATAGGCTATATTTATCTTCATATTAGATTTCATTAGGATTCATTCAGCTATAAGGTTTTGAAAATGCATCATACTCTAATTTTTAAAATATTCATATTTATAATACAGTATTTATTTATTAACATTTATACTTATCAGAGAATCTCCAAGTTACTTGTACTTTTTGGTACTGTAGAATATTATATAATAAGTAGCTGTGCCGGCAAACATTGTTTCGCCTTAAAATAATAAAATAAAATTTAGGGGTGGACTACCCCTATCATTTAGGAGGATGAAAAATAGATGTTGGTCGATTCTCAGACCTACTCAATACGCTCACAAAATTTCATGAGAATCGGTCAAGCCATTTCAGAGAAGTATGGGAACGAAAACTGTGACACGAGAATTTTATATATAAGATATTTTTTCTTGGAAAACATTTACATCATTACGGCCATTTGGGCATATAAATTTAACAATAAAGTACAAATTTGTGGAGAACTATATGTTTAGTTTATGTAGATGTAGTAACAAAGCTATATATTATATATTTTTTGATACTATAAAAGTGGTCCTCTAGTAATTTAAAATAATGTCACAGTTAATTAGTTTTTACATTTAAGTTACTATCTACCAGAAGGTTTCTGCAGTAATCCCTCCTATAACATTACTCTAATAACATGTTTTCATATTATATGGATATCAATCCCCCCCATGGGCATTCCCCCATATAAAACAAGGATATCCCACATTATATTTCTGTACTGTGAAATTAATAATGTTTTGTTTATGTTGATTAAGTTGTTTGTTTTGTATAGTTCATAATTAGTTATTCTAGTTCATATGCATACATATTTTATTTAGAATGACCATAAATACATGGTATATGGTCATACTCTTATAATACGGAACCAAAGTACTGTGTTATAGGGGGATTACTGTATTTATAATACATGCCTATAGTTATTTGACCTCAATCACATGTATGCACAGGTGTATGAAAATGGAAGCTATGATGTTCCAGTAGTATAGTATAAAGACATTGACTGATCACACAACATTTATAAAAACTATGTATAATCATTTATTTGATTACATCATTTATAAATCTGACTTTCCCCAACATTTTTAATGAGTGCTTATTCATATTCTTGTGTAAAAATGTGTATGGCACTCTATCTATTTGTTACCTTTTTAAGACTAAATGCCTGAACATATTTTATTGAAATTTGGTGTGAATGGTTATATAAATAATAGTATCTAAAAAATGCAGATAAAATCGTAATAAGCTAGTATAGATATCACAGAAGAAACATAAATTCAAACTTAGAAGTTACCATTTGTCATTCAAAATAGAACAAGCCTCGTAGACATAACTGTCTTTGTTTATAGAGATATAGGCCACACATAATTAGTAATAAAAAAAAGACTCCAATAATAAATTAAATAATTATAAAATCAATATTAAAAATATTCATTAATATTGTTTAAGTATCTGTAGTCTGTAAATTGGTATGTTTGCTATTAATTTTGTTCAGTGTAGTGGACCATATTAACATTCATTTAATATTCTATCATGCAATAATATTTGTATTACCTACTGTAATGATTATACATATATGGTATCTTCACATCTCTTATCCCAAATAGGGTAGGTAGAGCCACTGTCAACTGATGACATACCAACTTTACTGTGCATAAAATGTTTGTAAAGTCAAACAAATCATAACAAATTGCAGTCATACTGCAATTTGTTATTATATAGATAGATCTAGATACCCAGATAGATCCTACATATTTACAGTCCATCATGTGGCAGAGAGGGAAACTCCAAGCAGTTACTCTCTGGTGATGAAAACACTATTACTATTACCCAATCTAAAGTAATCAAAAAGTAGGTCCGCCCTCTGGCACAATAGTTGTGTGTGGGGGGACAGCAATGGTTGGTAACCCCATTGCAAGCAATGTATGGTACATTGCTTGCAATGGGGTTGTCAGGTTGACCTCCACATGGTCCCATCTGGGAACTATTGTTATAAATTCATGGTAAATATACCACTATGGGCTAACTGAGCTAACCTCATCTTATCATCCTCCAGTGGCGCCCCACCAGCGTAAACCGTTAGCGCCGAAGGGTGCACCATTCTATTGTCATCTATAAAATAAAGCAGTTGTGAGGGAATATTTTGTTTATTTTATATTATTACTTATTCCAGGCATGTGATGAAGCAATTGAAAAATTGTCTTTAGCTTCTAATAATCCTCAAGCTTCCCTGTATGGGGTTGTTAATCAAATACTGTACCCATTGGTCCAAGGATGTGAATCTAAAGATTTGAAGATTATCAAGGTTTGTTATTGTGTGTGAACCATTCAACTATATATGTTAATTTTTTATATGTATTTATATTATATGTCAATTAGAATACAAATAAACCTTGAAAATGTTGTTATTTTTCTAAACAAACTACTACTTTATAGTTTATTTAGAAAAATAACAAACTATTTATTTATTTCTCAGTATTATTCTCAGAATCTGCATTCATTTGGAATATAATAAAAGTTAGTGTAGTAAATAATAAAAGTACTTATATTAAGTTTACATTCCTTATGTAAAAATTAATATTTATTTACTTGTGTGTTTGTTCATACAGTCTACCATTCTATGCCTATAATTCTGATAAAACATAGTCAACTTAGCTGCTGTTCATAAATATAGGCAATGGTTATCACTTACCATCAGGTAAGCTACTTCAATTGAGGAGATCTGTCAAAAACTTATTTATATTGTATATTTTTGTCAGTCACATACCACTCTATTCTTGCTCATTCTTCTTGTGACGAGACTGCTTTCCGAATGTGCAGGAGATTAAACTCATTGTTTAAACTAAAGTGAACAATAAAATATGATTATTGAAACATGCTTAAATTTAAGTCTAATTTAATAAATGATTCTCTATTCTATTAGAAAGTGTATATATGTCTAACATACTAAATATACTGATAATCCATTTCCTGAACAAATAAGCACCATACACATATATACATACGGTTGTTTCTTAAGTAATAGTTTGCACTTTACTTTACAGTTCTGCCTTGGTACAGTACAAAGGCTGATTGCCCAGCAAGGTATAGATGCAAAAGGTGCTCGACATGTGGTAGATTGTCTGTACAACCTGGGCCAGGCTGGGGTGTTAGAGCTGAAGCTGCTGCAGACTGCTGCACTGCTTATGACCACCTCCGACCTCGTGCATGGCGATACTTTGGCAAGGGTTAGTGGTTTTTGCAACTCAGTATATAATAGATATAAAAAATGTATATAACTCTTGAATAAAAACTCTAATGAATTGTAACTAAGAACTATCTTATAAACGACAGCTTTCAAATAAAAAAAAAACGAGACATGATCGGTCCATTCGTTAAGGAGCTGGTAGGGTCACCATGTAAAGATGAACATGGATGATGGTTGTTTAGAGGGCAAATGACGATGTTCAGTGTTCTACATACTACAGTGATGCTCAAACTATAGAAGCACGTTATACACTTATAACATCCCTTTTGGAGTCCAGAGTTTATAAAATAAATAACATAGAATTATAGTTATGAGAAATCGAAAAATCTATACATATAAATAAAGTTGGAGTGGAGTGTTATTGAAATAACCGTTTTTACTACATGCATCTGAATACAAATACGGTACCTACACCGAAATAACATTTTTTACAATTTTTGTCTGTCTGTTCCGGTTAATCTCTGAAATGATTGGGCCGATTTTGACGGGACTTTTTTAGGCAGGTAGCTGATGTAATAAGGAGTGACTTAGGCTACTTTTATTTTAGAAAAATAAAGTTAAATTCCACGCGGACGAAGTCGTGGTAGCAGCTAGTGCTAAATAATTTCGCCAGAAGATTAAAGTTATCGAACTCTTTTTGGCCACTTGAGGAAGAGTCTATGTGTTTCCTGAATGTTCTTACTTAACATTCTCTTCTTTCTTAGCATTATGACATGTTGAAATTATACATTGTATATTTCAGACAATGGTGATGTGCATGCGGATGGTATCCACTTCGGAGACACGTGACGTAAGCACCAGCCACGCGGCTGCCGCCACCGTTCGTCAACTCGTCGCGCTGGTCTTCGAAAGGGCGCTGGCTGAGGCTGATGGTATGCATACACAGAGACGAATTTCTTACCATTATATGCATTCACCATGCGGGTGCCGGGTCCATCCTATAACGGAGAAGGAAACTCCGAACAGTTCCCGGGACTTATGATCCGGGAACTGATTATATCATCGTCACCGCTCGTGTTTCTCTTCAGTCAAATCTGGTAGAAGCCTGTTAATGCAACTTTACTTCGTATATCTATAGGTATAAGGTAACTCTTAGACAGATCAAGAACTTTTAGAAGGTTGTAGACAGATTTCGCTGGTACACCTCTAGCTCCCACTTTGACTGCATATAAATTAATCACTATGCCATTTTTAGGTAATCACTAATTACTTCATTTTCATGAATACAAACGTTATGTAATTAGGAATCGAACCCGCAACCATAGAAAGTAAGGCAGTGTGCTAAACCACCGAGGGCCTCGGTGGTCTAACGTTGTTTTAAGCGTTCATAGACTGTGGTGCCGTTTACAATCAGATAGTCCCTATGCTTCTTGGAAATAATTGTAAAACTAAAACTAAACTTCTTGAACATCATTCTAATTCTACATTTTTTGAATTAGGTTACGCCAATGCTACAACCAATGAGTTTTAAAATGAGGACTACATTTCTATTTACAGGTACTCTAAAGGTGAACCCGGCAGATGTGAGACCTCAAACAAATAGTAAAGCTCCGAAGGACTTGAAACCGTGCGCCGTCGATGCCTATCTTATTTTACAGGTATCATTTATATCATGTATTCTATCCGTATACACCTTTCTTACTAACTGATAACATTGCTTTTTTATACTACGATCATGGCAAACAGCTGTTCTGCCAATTTGATGATAAATGGTTATCATAGCCTATGGATGTCTGAATCACCAGGGGTATCGCTTTCACGTACACTGCTTATTCCTATGAATCTTTAATATTCCCTTTTGTTAAAAACATATGTAATTAAAAAAAAATAGTAGTATTCTAACAGTAGTCTAATATCCATAACACACGCTCTGCTTACCTTGGGACTAGATGGTGCTGTGTGAATTGTTGAGGGTTATTATTATTATATATTTTTTTAATCCCATATATTGGAAGTATAAAAATATGTGATGTATTTTTTTTAGTTTATCCATTAAGTATTTACGATACAAAAGTCGAATATGCGACCATCCACGTCTGCGTATGCTAAACCGCTATACCACTGAGGCCTGGGCCTAGGCCTCTTCATATATCTTTATATATAAAAATTACGTGTTATGTTGTTTGTCCGCGATAGACTCCTAAACTACTGAACCGATTGCAAATTTAATGTGCACATTGTGTTCAATTTGATCCAACTTGAAAGATAGGCTGGCTTACATCTCAATTTATAGTTGCAATATTCTTTACCCTTAGCTACAGCTACGCGTGGTCGGATCTGTTAGTATGACATATAATTTTTGTTTGCAGGATATAATTCAATTAATAAATGGCGACGCAGCCCACTGGCTGGTCGGTATCTCGGACGTGCCAAAGACATTCGGTCTGGAATTACTCGATACCGTATTGACTGATTTTTCTCCAGTATTCTTTAAGGTGAGCATCATATATATAAATTATATTATTTCTTTAATTCAGGTTTCTAATGGTCCATGTTATAAATACCTTATAGGCTAACATCCATATGAACTAGTACTCTTATACATCTTATTATAACTGTTGTCTTGTTATATAGTGTAACTTTGAAGTAGTTTTAACATTATTAAGGTTTTATTATCAAAAACTATAGTTATGAAGAAAGTGTGTGTGTATCAAATGCATGATAGTCTGTGTATTAATTTGTTTTTATTGGCTTCCTGTATTTCTTATGGAAATCAAGAATGTAAAGTATTTGATTTGCGTATTAATATTAAAATTGTAACAAAATGTTTTTTTTTTCAGATATCAGAATTTAGATTCCTTTTAAAGGAACACGTGTGTGCTTTAATTATACGACTCTTCTCGCCAAATGTTAAATATAGGTGAGTTGTAAAATATGGATAGATTACTAGATGATTATAAATTTAAAACTTAAGGAGTTGTGTTTCCCAAGTGTGGTGGGGACTAGTTTTTTATATGCTGTTTTGTTTTCTTTTTTTTAACTGTGAATTATAATAAATGCATACGTTCGGCAGGGCGGCGCTGCCGGCGCTGCAGATCCCTGGTGCGGGGGGCGCGGGGGGGAGTCCTGCAGCCGCCGAGCGGCCACACTTCCCCGTCACCATGCGACTACTGCGGCTCGTCGCCATCATCGTACACAAGTACCACAACTTACTGGTCAGTATCTACTGTATACGTCTGTGTATCTGTATGTATACATTCTACACCCACTGGTCTACTCTTGAATTCTATTGTTGTGCAGGTTTTAATGTGTCTTATAATGTATACTAGATAAGTATTAGTTCCTTATTTCGTGGTTACTGAATGAACTATCGTACATTGTAATTAATTACTAAATGTTTTTTGCTGCAGTTAGAGTCAACGAGCATTTATATATATTATCATCTTGATGATATATTTTTTTTTGTTTCAATACTACTATTCTACTACTAATCTAAACTTGTCGAATCATTTGCTAGATAAAAAATGATTTTTATTGATAGATTTTAAAATGTATTTAATGCTTGTAATGCTTGGTACTAGGTGACGGAGTGCGAGATATTTCTGTCGCTCACTATCAAATTCCTGGACCCCGACAAACCACTGTGGCAGCGCGCGCTAGCGCTTGAGGTGCTCCACAAGATGACTATTCAGCCAAGTTAGTATTCTTTCAATACCTACTATTTTCTTTACAAAAAAATAACTAAACAGTAATATGCATTTATAAAACTATTATTTAAGTATTTCTGTCAGTTGTGTAGTATCCATAACATTAGCTCTACTTAGCTTGGGGCTAGATGTTTGTGTGTTATTATTATTAATGTGATGGAATTTGTGAATGTTTTATTTGACAGAAGGAACTGATTGTTAAAACCATGTTATTATAAGTGAAATCTTAATTGATTAAGATATAAACATTGTGTCAGAAACTTATTTGTCTTGTTCCATTTTTTGTCATGTTATTAGTTTATTATGTTTATATATTTGTTTTAGAACTCTTGAAGGCATTCTGCGAGTGTTATGACATGAAGCCGCACGCGACGAATATCTTCCAGGATATAGTGAATGCACTAGGGGCCTATGTACAAAGTCTGTTTGTTGCATCCCAAGTCAACACGCCAGCTGGTAAGTTTCTTCACTCACTTTTAAATAAATTGCTACCACAATTAATTTCCACCTCTCTTATTTTACTTCCTTTCATACTATCTTTTAATAAACATTTAAATTGTAAGCGGGCTTAATTTTTGTACAAAATCATGGATATGATTATAAAGAAGGTTATTAAAATTAGAGGTCCTAGTTTTGAGCCTTGGCGTACCTCCAAATAATTGTTATTGGTTGTAAGTAATAATTTGAATATTTTAATGTTAATGTTACTGCTGAAACAAGACTACGTAACAGAACTGCATAGTAAGCTTTAAAACACACCTAATACTTACTTATACATTGTAATAAGTTTGGTATGATAGTTAGTGATCATTGTGGATGGAATAGAAAGAAGTTTCTAAATATCTGTTGCAATTATTATACAAGGTTCTCAAACATGCGGTCCCTAAACATCTTTTAAAGCCACAATTAACTTTTCTCAATTCTCTCTCTCTAACTCATATTTTATGTTTAATAATATCATCATTCAAATACATGTCATCCACTTTGTCAATATCCTGTGGGATAACTTCATTAAGAGCTATTATATCCTCATCTTCGACAGTTACTGCGGGATTATATATCAGTACGTCGTCTCTCGAGTCGTAGTCTGGAGCCTCATTGTCCCGCATATTATCTTGTACCTCGGGTAGTTCTATTAGTTCTGCAACATCTATACCTTCTCGTCTACCAAAGTGATCTGAAAATAATTTCAATTCGGCTGTAAGGTTTAGAATTTCATCGTCATTATCTCAAGCTTTATTTATCCAATGCTGGTTATGTTTAAGACTGAGGTGTTATGTTCCCAATTTTATTGTTATATAACTCCTTCCAAACCTAAAGTCATCAATAATGAGAACTAGGGACCGCAATGGCAACAACGTGCCATATCTTCATATGAAGATTAGTATATATAAGTATATGTAGTGGACTGTATAATCCACCCAGAACACAATAGTGTTTAATATCTAGTGAATTCTACGATTGTCTAACTGATCTGAATTTATTCTTATATTATTTACATTTTTTAATACCATGTGCCAAAATGCGACCGAAGGCGCTAAAGACGTTGCATCATTTTCGGGTAAATACATTTAGTTGCCATTGAAACGAGAGAAGATATAATTAATACTAACTTCGTAAATACCCCATATCACTGGAGTTATACTGTTCGTTATCGACAGAGAGTATATGTGAGTACATATCGATGAGCGAGCGACATCTGTTGATGCATTGCCGGTAACTCATGAAACGATTGGTGCGTGTTGCGTACGGACAACCAAGTCTCTCGCTGCTCGTAAAGGAATTAAGAAATATTACGGATTATCCAAAACATAAATGTAAAATTGAGATACTGTGCAACATGTGCACTATATAAACGGTTGAAATGATAATGTTTTGTAAGTTGATTATCTATATTGTAGGGTAAAATGAATATACTTTGAACTAGAATTGTAAATAAAAAACATGGTTCAAAATAAGAAAGTGCTATAAAAGGTCTGTCGCCAACATTGATAGAAAATTATACTGAGCAGTATGTACCGAGATAATTTAAATAGAACTTCGTTACTACTCCAAAGCCTTGTATATAGCAAACTTTACCAAAACATATGTGTGACTTCATTTATGACTATATATACGTGTGGATTGTCACTCATTGATAATTATAATAGTTATATGACAAAACTTGCACGTAATGTACGTGAGTTAAGACAATTGAACTTCACAAATACTAGAACACATTGTGGTAATACTGTTTGTTGTCGAAAGAGAATATATCTCACGCCTTATACAATACTGGATAGACTTTAAAGCTAAAACTTTAGAGTGAATATTCCAAAAATTTTATTTTTTTAGGTACATCCAGTATTATATTAGGTTGCGACATAGTAATGAGACAAACAGACGTACGTGCAATTCTGTATGTGGAACTCGTAAGTCCACACTGGAACTACGTGCTCTATACATACGCCTGGCGTGAATCTACGTGTGCATCGGGTTTGATATTGTAATAAACGTTCCGATGGAGACACATTGGAGTGTACTGAAACCAAATAGTTACATATCTTAAACAACAATTGTTGTCCTGTTTCTTTTCATGCCTAAGTTTCTATTTACAGCGCCATTTATTATTGTGGTACTACAACGATAATAAATTTTTTACCTCTAATACAGTTACAGTCACTTTATTTATTACTAGCTACTTGCTCCGGCTTCGCCCGGTTGTACATGTATTATATATATAAACCTTCCTCTAGAATCACTCTATCTATTTAAAAATACCGCTTCAAAATCCGTTGCGTAGTTTTAAAGATCTTAGCATACATAGGGACGGACAGACAGCGACATTTTTTTATACTATGTAATGATGCGATTATAGTTTCATGAAGAGTTTGTAATTTCAGTCGGCTATAATATAACAAATTAAAGAATACACTAATTTTCGCAATAATTGCAGCCCGGAAGACGTCCACTGCTGGACATAGGCCTCCCCCAAAGATCTCCACGACAATCGGTCCTGCGCTGCTCGCATCCAATGCCTTCCAGCGATCTTGACCAGATCGTAAAATTAAAAAACATAAATATAAAACAGATATTATACAAATATAAAATACTAATAATATGTAAGAAAAAAGAATATACATAAAAAACGCAGTATTTTACGACGACCTCGGTGGTCTAGCGGTCTAGCACACCGCTTTACGACCGATGGTCGCGGGTTCGATTCCTCGCACGGCACAAACATTTGTATTCATGAGTATGATTGTTTGTATCGGTCTGGGTGTTTATATTATGTATGTATTTACAAAAAGAAAGTATCTATGTATATGTATCAGTTGTCTAGTACCCATAAAACAAGCTTTAGCTAGCTTAACTTGGGTCTAGATGGTGCTGTGTAATTTGTCCTGAGATTATTATTACTATTATTATTATTATTATTTATAGTTCGTAATATCTACATGTAACTGTAACTACTTTTTCAATAATTTTAAAAGAATTAAATGTAGGATGCAAAGCGCTAATTCACTAATGCTGTAAGTGGTAGAGAAATAGTGTTCCGCGAATCGTCATGCTGTCTTTAATTATCGGGCGCGAAGTAAGTATCTGAAAGCAGATGGTACAACTTAATTCATTAAACATTACATATAATAATACACTCACCATGATATTCATCATAATTTTGTACCATCGACCTTCCCAGTATTGTACTAAATATTAACAGATTTAGCATTGTAATTATCTAATTAACGTAATCGGTAATATGTCGCATCGCAGCCCTATAGATTACTAATTATGTGTAGCAACTTTTTTTTAAGAACTATCCACAAGTTTAACTTCTAAAGAATATTTCTAAATTGTACATATGTATACATTACACTATATCCTGAGGAGATAAACATCGCTCCTAAAAACATCCTTCAATTCTTGTCCCTTACGGGTCTAGGTAGCGAACTTTGAAAAAGGGTGAGCACAACAGATCTATTCAGGTCGCAGTGTTACAGGTCATTGCATCTGGTAACAGCCCAAACACCTCAATAAAAAAAATAAAAAATACACTTTATATATGTATTACTTATATATAAATAAATATACTCACTTCTACTTCTATAATTCTTCTAATTCTATTTTATAACAGAAAAGAAAAATATTTTATAACACAAATATAATTTATTAAAAAAAAATACATTTGTCGCAATAAGAAAAAGAGCTAATAATTATATTCCAGGAGCATCAGGCATACCTCAGCAACCAGGGTTCTACTGGAAAGGCGTCTGGTTACCACTCTGCGTGACCTTTGAGCCAGGCACAGCAAAATCTGTTTAGTAAGTCACTTTTTTATTTAATTTTGAGTGATAACTCTAATTGTCCATCCTGATCTGGATGAATGGCGGTCCTCCACGGTGCGGTTTTCTATAAACTTTTGACCACGCACAACCACATTGTGGAATCACCTTCCAGCAATGGTATTACCGAACCAATACGATATTGAAACCTTCAAGAAAAGAGTTTATTCTTTCTTAAAAAGCCCGCAACGCACTTGCAATTCCCCTGGTGCGGGTGCTCATGGGCGCCGGTAATCACTTACCGCCTTACTTACTTATCAGGTGAGCCGCAAGCTCGTTTTCCCCTGTGCTATAAAAAAAAAATATGTCTTTTCAGTATCGAGATGCTAGATCGCAATGAAGCGCCAACAATCCAGGACGGATATGGTATATCGGTGGCATACGCCTGCCTTATGGAAATCGTGCGATCCATCGCCATAACCGTCGAGGGTGATGATTATTTCAGGTTAGTTATTAACAGACTATATATTCTTGACTCAATTTAGTTTTTATTGGGCACCCTTGCTACTGTTGTGACGTCATATGAAGTTTCCACGCTGTTGTCTCTGAAAATTTTGGGTAATTCCTGGTGATTTTAACAATAAGTTAATTAACATAAGGTCATGGTTATCCGACCATCCTCCACAGCTAAACTGATAGCGCCGGCGGGAGTACCAACATATTATCATCATTTAAAAAAAACATCAAAACGTATCTTAAGAGTCTGTACTAGACATCATTACATAGTATAAAACAAAGTCGCTGTCGTTGTCTGTCCGTCCCTATATACATAGGCATGGACAGACAGCTTAAACCTTTAAAACTACGCAACGGATTTTGAAGCTGTTTTTTTTTATTATAAGTGATTCAAGAGGTAGGTTTATATATATAACACAACTACACCCGGGCGAATAGCTAGTTCATTAATAAAGATATTTTATTTTAATTTGTTGTGTATTATATTATGTACCTATCATGCTATTTTTTTACTAGTACTAAGTCCCGGACTCGGCTAATTTGTATTTTAATTTCTAACTCAGTCCTATTGTCTCGCAGGTTGCAGGAAATGTACGAGGACAATCAAAATGACGAAGAGAAAGAAATAAATTCAAATAAGAATGGCAATCATCAGAAAGGTTACCCCTCAAATATTTGTCGTCTCTTTTTATTCGGCTTTTCAATTAGAATTTACCTTAAAATACTTTTGAATACCGTAGATCTAAATTGAACTCTATTTTGTAAAGGTAAAATGTCAATTCAACTGTAATTCTTTTAGTAATGTAGAAATACAAGTTTCATGTACATATATTGATATGGCGGACTTAGCAACTTGTGGCAGAACTGAACCTACAGTAGGTTCAGTATACATGTACATATGTACCTTTGTAGTGTATCTATCTATTGTCTAGGACCCATAACAAAAGCTTTGCTTGTATCAAGACTAGATGGCGCTATGTGGATTGTCCTGAATTATTATTGTTATTATAATATAATTATTTATTGATTATAGACACAGACACTGAACATGACCAAAAAGAAATAATGAACAACGGCCACCACGGCGAGGCGGACCAGAACTCCAACGTTGTCAATAAAGTTGACGAAAATGAAGATAAAGAGAATCATCTCAGGCTGCAGGTAAGCTGTATATGTAAAATCTTCTACATGTGTACGTCTGAAGTCATCTTTTGAGCCATCAAACATCTTGCTTTGAAAGACGTGTGTTAAATATGTTTCACAAGAATAATAAGTGAACGTGAAGCGACGAACATGAGTGAGTTTATTCGTTCATTCACTCTTCCTTCTGTCGTTCAATATAGGTCGGTCGGTGGTCTAGCGGTTTGGCATACCGCTTTACATCCGATGGTCGCGGGTTCGATTCCTCGCACGGTCCAAACATTTATATTCATGAATATGATTGTTTGTATCGGTCTGGGTGTTTTCTATGCATATTACGTATGTATTTACAAAAAAATATATATCTAATTATTATTTATATCAGTTGTCTAGTACCCATAACACAAGCTCTGCTTAGCATGGTACTAGATGGCGCTGTGTTAATTGTCCAGGGTTATTTCTTTATTTATATAAAAGCAAATTGTTGTAGTGGTTCAAGCTACATAAACTATTAATTAATTAGTAGTTAATTGTACCAATCTTCTATCATTGTATAATGTAAATAAAGCCTATATCTGTCTATTTAGTAAACTGATTAATCTCAGAAGTTTAAGCTAATTGTTAATCAATTATAAGCTTTAATTACGGTTAATATGATTGTAAATACAATGTTCCAAACCCAAACTTTTTCAAACCATTCAATCGAGACGTCTTATACGCTGCTTGACGATGAAAATGAAATGAAATTCATGACTCTGAGGTCCTACCTGAGTGACCTACACAAATGACTATACACAAGGTCTACCTCTGTAACTCGTTTTAACAATTATTATATACTAGCCGCGGTTTGAACCGCATGAAATTTATAACCTATATGTTATTCTCATGTATAAGCTATATTACTGTAAAGTTTTATCAAAATTCGTTCAGTAGTTATAGCGTGAAAAAGTAACAAACATTCGTCTATTCTCACAAAATTTCGAATTTATAATATTAATAGGATTAATACTATGTAATGTAATTGCAGTTATTAAAGTCGTCCTGGTGCGGTTTGGTATGGGGCTTGTCTGTATTGGCGGAGGCCAGTATAGGCGAGTTAGAGAACATACTGCGCGCGATACAGATCCTCGCCAGAGTCAGCGGGAAGGTAGGCATCTTATATTATTAATATATATATTAACATTATACTATTATTTGATTAAATAAATATACTATCATACTGTTGAAAAAGTTACATTTGGGCTAGAAGCAATTTGTTAGAAGATCCGTTGATACAACTGTTTTAGCATTAGCAAAACGAATAATGTTAACTTTCTGAGTTTCTATGAGTAAAACTATACAAATGAATGACTTGGGTGGTGGTAGGTTCTCGCCTTCCTTAATGATAACAACATCATCATTTACTGTATTGTTAAATTCGCCAGGACATCTCTTCCAAAACTTAACCTTTTTGCAATTAAATTACCGTTGCTGAAGGCGGATGACATAGTTCAGATGTTCCTTTATAGAATGTACACCGGTATCCCAATATCCGCCAAAATTTGGAATTCAGGATGGTATATATTACCACGGCGTGTCTTTATCAGTTTATTATTAATAAATATACCAATAATAAATCTGATACCACCTCATTAAACATGACTCTTAACTTTCGGTATCAATATTGTCCATGCATATGTCGCCATATAAATGTTTACAGTAATCTCTTCTTTTACATTATTCCTTTTCTCTATTATTCAGATGTATGTTACTTGAAAAGGATTGAACAGATTTTAATGACACGTGGTAGCATTTTGTTAGCAATCTAGATTGACATATTAAAAACCAATATGGCTCTTAATAGAAGAATCCTTGTGTTTTGGCTGTCTTTTTTTTTATAACACAGGGGACAAACGAGCATGCGGCTCACCTGATGGTAAGTGATTACCGCCGCCCATGAGCACCCGCAACACCAGGGGAATTGCAAGTACGTTGTCGGCCTTTTAAAAAGGAATAAGCTCTTTTCTTGAAGGTTTCAATATCGTATCGGTTCGGAAATACCATTGCTGGAAGGTGATTCCACAATGTGGTTGTGCTTGGCAAAAAGTTTCTAGAAAACCGCACTGTGGAAGACCGCCATTCATCCAGATGATCAGGATGGTATTTCAGTTTATGGCGGGTGGTACGGTGGTGAAACTCAGCAGCTGGTATTAATCCGAACAATTCCTCAGAACACTCCCCGTGATATATGCGGTAGAAAATGCACAGAGATGCAATATCTCGCCGCAAAGCCAATGGGTCGAGTCTGTCACATAGACGTTGATTACCAATGATTCTGGCTGCTCGGTTCTGAATGCGGTCAAATGGAATTCAGAGATGATGAACAGTATTCCATATGCGGCCGGATCTGCGCCTTGTATAATTGCAAGCGATGAGCCGCCGTGAAATACCATCTCACTGTACTGAGCACACCAAGCTTTTTTGAGGCTATTTTAGCCTTGTCCTCCAAATAACCGCAAAACTGAACGTCACTGGATATATCAACGCCAAGGACCTCGAAATTTGGCTTCACATCAAGGAGAGTGTCTTGAAACTGAGTAGATACGATAAATGGAATCTTTTTAACGGTAAACGCGCAAACTTGTGTCTTCTTGGGGTTGAATTGACAACAATTTTCCTGACCCCAAACCGAAACTTGATGGAGTGAAGTTTCGATTTCGATCGACACATGTTTGTTCCGGTACTCTATAACTTTTGCCTGTGACATATTAGCATGGCCGCTGTACAAGGCATCTCCGGTACTGTCATCCGCATAGCAATGAATGTTGTTGATTTGTAATATGTCATTAATATGCAGAAGAAACAGAGTCGGAGATAGCACACAGCCTTGTGGAACACCAGCATTCACAGTGTGGGTGTTGGTGGAATGAAATGAATGAATGAATGAATGAAATGAATGAATGAAATGAAATGAATGAATGAATGAATGAATGAATGAAAGAATGAATGAAACGAATGAATGAAACGAATGAATGAAATGAATGAATGAAATGAATGAATGAATGAAATGAATGAATGAAATGAATGAATGAAATGAATGAATGAAATGAATGAATGAAATGAATGAATGAAATGAATGAATGAAATGAATGAATGAAATGAATGAATGAAATGAATGAATGAAATGAATGAATGAAATGAATGAATGAAATGAATGAAATGAATGATTGAAATGAATGAATGAAATGATGGATGAATGAAATGAATGAATGAAATGATGGATGAATGAAATGAATGAATGAATGAATGAATGGATGAATGAAAAATGAATGAATGAAATGAATGAAATGAAATGAATGAATGAATGATGAATGAATGAAATGAATGAATGAAATGAATGAATGAAATGAATGAATGAAATGAATGAATGAAATGAAATGAATGAATGAAATGAATGAATGAAAAATGAAATGAATGAATGAAATGATTGAAATGAAATGAATGAATGAAATGAATGAATGAAATGAATGAATGAAATGAATGAATGAAATGAATGAATGAAATGAATGAATGAAATGAATGAAATGAATGAAATGAACGAAATGAACTAAATGAACGAAATGAACGAAATGAAATGAATGAAATGAATGAAATGAATGAAATGAATGAAATGAATGAAATGAATGAAATGAATGAAATGAATGAAATGAATGAAATGAATGAATGAATGAATGGAATGATCAAATTGAGCGGAGTATTGCCCACCCCAGAATTCGCAGGGCAGCCTGAGTGTATTATCTCAGGGGTGGATTGTCCAGTAATACGGTTACTGGTACCATCCTGGGGTAAAAATCGCTTGTATTCCGCTGCCATGGTATGTAAGAAAGGGGTGGATAGGGGAAGGAAGTAGGAAAGGGATAGGGGGAGGGGCATTCGGAACCATGCGAAACGCGATATCGCTTAACGTCGGTTTTCTGCCGAGGTGTGGTATTTCCCGGTTCGAGCGGCCCAATCGTCTTGAACAACCACGTGTGGTCGTACAGCTTGCTCTACCACTTGTCTGTAAGATGAGTGCCGCGGCTAATTAAGAACCGGTCGGAAAAGTGTGAATTGTGAGGTGAATGTCCTCGTGCGCAGGTGCAGATGACGGCGGCTCGAGACGCGTGCGTGGGCGCGCTGTGTCGGTGCGCGCTGCCCGCGCAGTACTGCGTGCCGGCGCTGGGCGCGCTGGCCGCGCTGCCCGGGCCGTGGCGCCGCGACCCCGCGCCGCCCGACCCCGACTACCGCCACCAGGTCGTGTGGGTCGGCACGCCGCTGCCGTCCGCCGCGCTGCCCACAGGTAGTGTAGTGTAGTGTAGTGTAGTGTAGTGTAGTGTAGTGCTGGCAGGTAGCACGCCGCCCGCGCAGTACTGCGTGCCGGCGCTGGACTATGGACTATGGTCACCTTCGACATGAAAGGCGACAGAGTCTACAGCGTCAATATAAGCGCATTACTCACAGATAATGTCATTTTCACTACGTTACATACGAAAATCGTTAATTATCGAAAGTGAGCACAAGTTTACATACATTAATGTATTTTTACTACATGTATAGCCTGTATATGCGTTTTGTATCGGCAATACCAAACGTACCATTCAGTTTTCTCTATCTACCCGTTCACAGTTCTGGCGTGAGGATAGATAGATTTCAATATAATGTGTAGTATTGTCGTATGATTGTACAGGACAACAGCAGTCCTTCGTGATGGTGACGTCACGACACGTGACGGCGATGAAAGCGTTATTGTGTGCGGCGCAGCGTGACGGCGACACCATCCAGCAGGCCTGGCTGCCGGTCCTCACCACGCTGCAGCACCTGGTAACTGCCTTTTTCCACACACTTATAAACAGTATATCACCCTGGCTGCAGGTCTTCACCACGCTGCAATACCTGGTAACTGCCTTTTTTCACATACGTTTAAACAGTATATTAGCCTGGCTGCCGCTCCTCACCACGCTGCAACACATGGTAACTGCCTTTTTTCACACACGTGTAAACAGTATTTCAACCTGGCTACCGGTCCTCACCATGCTGCAGCACCTGATAACTGCCGTTTTTCACACACGTTTAAACAGTATATTAGCCTGGCTACCGCTCCTCACCACGCTGCAATACATGGTAACTGCCTTTTTTCACACACGTGTAAACAGTATTTCAACCTGGCTACCGGTCCTCGCCATGCTGCAGCACCTGATAACTGCCTTTTTTCACACACTTATAGAGTATATGTAATTCATATACTTCTTCCTAGAATTCTCATGACCCTGAAATATTTTTTCCAAGAAAGAAAATAGGCAGTTATTAAGTAAGGGGGTGTGCTAAACCACTAGACCACCGAGACGGTCGAATGATATTTTTTTAATTAAACAAACTATATATTTTTACATTGTTTAGGTGTGGATCCTCGGCCTGAAGCCGTCTACGGGCGGCAGTATGAAGGCAAGTCGCGCAAGCGCCGACGCCAATGCTGTCATGAGCACTTCCGCTGTCATGGCTGATTTACCTGGTTAGTTATTTACTTGCACACGGATATACGTACATTTAGTGCATTTAGTGTACACCTCATCTTAGCATGGATGTACAGAGAGAGATTGTATGACTTATGATCCACGGAAAAATTCGAGCTTACCATCAACTATTAGATAAAATGCCAGCTTGTTTGATACTCCAATTACAGAAAAATAAATAGTGTATCAAAATCTACTGCGTGGTTTAAAACTTAGACTTATACTATTTAGTGATACACATCGCAACAAATGTGTTTGGTTGTTATAACTGCACTTATTTAGTGATAAATACAGACTTCCGTGAAGAGTCAATCTTGGTTGTCGAATATATATCACACTAATGTTAAAGGGATCCATGTGTTGATGGATAAATTATGGAGATACTGAGTACACGTTATAATATTTGAAGATTAAAGCATATAGGTTCGATTTGTGGCTATGTTGATGTTATGTACAATTCTAATCATGTACAAGCTTATTTGGAAAGAATAAGAGCTGATTTTCTTGTCAATTCTTTTTAGTTCGAATGCACTCCGAACTGACGGTATATTTGACATATAAGAGTGTGTAATAGACCTACAAGAATAAAGATATTTTGATTTTCATTATAGACATTCCAATTTCATTTATGAGCACTAAAATAAACTGAATTTACAGGTAGTAAATAATGTATTAAAGTTTCCATAAGTATGTGTTATAAATCATTTGCAGGTCAGCAAGTTCCTGTCGCCGAGTCGCTAGGAGTTATGTCTGGTATTACTTGACATAATATGACATTATTTGTATCCAATTGGAATATATAATTATATGCCGCATGACTTTGCTTACCGTGCGAAAAAATGTAATATAAAGAAGACAATTCTTAATATTATTATTATAGTATATATTATTATAATATATTTGTTAAAATCACAATGTCCTAAGGGTATTATAAACCAAAACACTACACTCGTGTTTATAAGGTTTATTGATCCGTTTCATAGTTTGCTAGTTACATAATACTGCTGGCCAAGGCTGACCAAGGCTGGCCCTTTCCTATAGTTAAATATAATATCTTTCTAATTCCAACAAGTGGACTTAAGTAATTAAGATGATGATCTAGCGGTTTAGCAAACCGCTTTACGTCCGATGGTCGGGTTCGATACCTCGCACGGCACAAACATTTGTATTCATGAGTATGATTGTTTGTAACGGTCTGGGTGTTTTCTGTGTATAATATGTATGTATTACGAAAAAAAAACTATATATTTATATCAGTTATCTAGTACCCATAACACAAGCTTTAGCTAGCTTAACTTCGATCTAGATGGCACTGTGTGATTTATCCTGAGATTATTATTATTGCAATTCCAGAGTAGATAATAGAACCCCTAGTGATAAGAATACATTTTAACGTAACAGAAAATATCTTTTCTCTCTTTCTTTCTCAAAGCCGCTATTATAAATTCCAATTGGTTACACCAATAGGGAGCTTATGTTCGTCACAACGCACAGGGATGGAGCTTGCTGGCCATTTGTTTCTTATTGTTTTGGTTTTACTGCACTGTTTTGTTTTGTTTTCTTATTAATAGCAATACTAATTATTATTTATTTAATTGTATATTTTATATTACCACACATATTACCACAGATTATTTCACTATTTCATTTCTAATTCGGTCATACTGTCATTGGTCAGTCTCTATTATACGTATCGTAATAACCCATAACGTCCCACTGCAGGGCATGGATATGTGTCCATAAATAAAATTATTAATCATTACCACAAAGCCAACCAGTTTGGAAAAGGTTTTCTTTCAATTTTCGAGATGGGTATATCTTGAAAGGTTTATTAAGGTTTCTTAAGGGACGGCAGCGCAGACGTTTACACCCCTGGTGCCCCAGGCGTCCATAGGCTACGGTAACCATTTACCATCAGAATATATATATAAAGTATAAAAATATATATCTATAAGAATAATTTATTGTTTAAACTATATAAGGGCACATTCATAAATGATATTGTGATATAATTCAGTAGTAGAAATCACAAAATTCATTAATTTTGACCTCTCCTCACGTCCTTGCCACAGTTATATAATAGTAGATTTTAACTTTATTTTCTAAAATAAAAGTTGCCTAAGTTACTCCTTATTGTTATTATTAGTATTTTTTTGGCTGCTAGCTAATGTATAGCTACCTGCCAAAAAAATTTCGGTCAAAATCGGTCCTGCCATTTCAGAGATTAGCCGGAACAAACAGACAGACAGACAAAAATTTCAAAAAAATGTTATTTTGGTGTATATACCGTATTTATATTCATATGCATGTAGTAAAAAACGGTTATTTCAATATTACAAACAGACACACAAAAATTTAGGATCCTTCCCATTCCTCGTCACATAGCGTCACACTTTGTCAAACCCCCTTTCCCCTCCTCACACCTAACGTGGAGAAATAATTAATTGATGGTCCTTATCTTCATTTACTGTATATTAAAATGTTTATAACCGATTTGTATCTTTCAGCGCTTTCAGCGATGTTGTCGCGGGTGTTTGAATCGTCGAAGAATCTGGATGACGTAGCGCTGCATCACCTTATTGACGCGCTGTGCAAACTGTCCAATGAGGCGATGGAACTAGCTTACTCTAATAGGGTAAATATATTTTAGTTACAATATTACTTTGACGCTAAGATATAATTACTCAAGATCTCTGAAAAGCGTTGGTTGCGAGCAGCGCAGGACCGATCATCTTGGACAATTTTGAGGGAGGCCTTTGTTCAACAGTGAACGTTTTCCAGGCTGAAATGATGATGATGATGATTAGTTTGACGGCCTCGGTGGTTTATCGGTCTAAACACACTGCTTTACTTCCAATGGTCGCAGGTTCGATTCCTTGCACGGTGCAAATATTTGTATTCATGAATATGATTGTTTTTATCGATCTCGGTGTTTTCTATGTATATTATGTATGCTATGCTTACTGTGGGACTAGATGGCGCTGTGTTAATTGTCCAAGGTTATTAATTTATTCATTAGTTCAACCCGTTAGGCATTGATTCAAATCAGGGTAGAAAATACCAGGATTAGTAGATTCATAATAACGGGCTACTTCAATTTAAAAAACAATATATCCTGATGCATATATTGTTTTCATAAGGGCTCTCACTGGTCACTGTAATTTAAATAAACACATGGCAAACTTAGGTATGTGCTCAAGAAAGACTTGCAGATTTTGTCAAAACGAAGAAACATAAAAAAATATATTAATGGTTTTTGGTTTAAATAATTTTTAATTTGGTTTCAGGAGCCTTCTCTGTTCGCAGTAGCTAAGTTACTTGAAACAGGCTTGGCAAATATGCACAGAATAGAAGTTATTTGGAGGCCTATCACCAATCATCTTCTAGAAGTAAGTCACCGTACATTATGTATTTAAACCTTACCAATATTATAAACGCAAAAGTTTTGGTTATGGATGGATAGATGGATGAATGGATGTTTGTTACTCTTTCACGCAAAAACTACTAAACAGATTTTGATGAAACTTTACAGTAATATAATTTATACATTAGAATAACACATATGATATAAGTTTCTTGTGGGTTAAATCGCGGCTACAGCTAGTAATCTATATTAATAATAGTTGAACGAGACCCTGTTAGGGTTAACAAGGCCTAGTCAAGTGGAAATATTTATTTATATTGTTCCATTTATATATAAAATTGAATAAGTGACTATGTGACTTATTGAATTTTAGCAAAATGACAATGGATTTCCTAAATAATACATAACATTGTAGGTTGTTATTGTTTTAATATATATTTTTTTGTAATTAGTAATATGTCATATTTTTGTATATATTTTCCTATATGAGCATATTGAGTGAGTGAGGAAGCTGTAAGGCTCGCTTAGTTTTGATGTCAATAAGTAAATAAAAATAAATATTTTGTCTAGATTGACTTTGTACAAAGTCATCTATGTGGGTACATCAGTCTGACCTATTATAGCCGCCAAACAGCCAGCTTTAGTTAAGCTGTGTTTAGTATATAAGACAAGGTATAAGTCAATTGAGATAAGGCTTAGAAATTACAGGACCTGAAGTCATAACATGTTGGTTGGTAAGGTTGCCTGGAAGAGATAGCTTTTTAGCGATAAGGCCGCCCATTGTTACCTCTTTGTCTTGTTTATTGTATTATAATTATTTTTTTTTGTCATTTTTTACATAATTGTATATGTAATTGTATTTTCTGTGAGAGGAACAATAAAGAGTTTCATTCGTTCATTCATGTTGGTCTTCCGCAATAGTAAATACATTAGTATCACAGGTGTTATATGATAAGGTGATGTTCGTAGTGTATATTGACGACGGCTACCACTTACCAACAGGTGGATGAACAGCTACTTTCCATTCCAGTTATATTAAAAAATATATATGATATTTCCTTTTATAGGTGTGCCAACATCCTCATATAAGAATGAGGGAGTGGGGCGTCGAAGCAATCACATATTTAGTTCAAGCAGCATTCCAATATCATCACAATAACCCAGAATTGGTTACAGAGGTGAGTTAGTTATTTTTTTATATTATAACTAGCTATTCGCCGCGGCTACGCATGGGTGTACGTGTATTATACATGCAAACCATCCTCTTGAGTCACTCTATCCATTGCTTTAAAATCCGATGCGAAGTTTGAATGATCTTATCGAATAGACAACGGAAGCGACTTCATTTTATACTATGTAAAAACTAGGACATAATGAACGTTGTATCATCTACAATATAATAATCCAGGACTATTTACACAACGCCATCTAGTCCCAAACTGATCTAAACAATAATAGCAGTATATAAATATCGTTTTTTCGTAAACACATTCATAAACAATATACATAGATAAAAAGTCCGTTTTTTAACGTAACAGAAGGTCTGCTTATCTTGGCAATTTGAATTTTGGATGAATTGTCCTAAATTATTAAAAAAAATATTAAAAATCCAGGCTCGGCAGCGTCTTCTTCTGGAGCCTTTATCAGAGTTGTGCGCAGTGAGACATTGTGACGTTCGCGCGAGGCAGCTGGAGTGTGCTGCTAGGTTGCTGCATTCATTAGGAGACCAGCTCGGCGCCGCCTGGCCACTCATGATGGAGATCATCTCCGCCATATCTACACATCACAGGTAATTTTTCTATGCTGTTTTATAGTATCTATGGTAATTTTTTAATGCTGGACTATATAATCAAACTTCTACTCTGGAACGGCAGTTTTCCGAATGAGCGGTAGATAAAAATGTGATGATTATTTAAAAGTGCTTCAATGTAAGTTTATTGGAATAAATGATATTCTATTCTATCAATCCATACCTTTACCCATCCTACCCTGAACATGAACCCGTACAAATAAGTTGAGGCACGTGTTCGCAGCGAGCAGCTGATCCGGTCGGCGTTCCAGTGCGCGCAGGTGGTGGCGGGCGACCTGCTGGGCTGCGCCGGCCCGCGCTGTCTGCGGAAGGTCCTCACCACCGCCGCGGCCTTCGCGCACCAGACCAAGGAGCTCAACATCAGCCTCACCGCGGTCGGACTCATGGTCGGCACACTATTTGATAGATAGATAATTCATTGCCAACACAATATAATAATTTACAAATAATACACAAAATAAGAAATAAAAAAATAACACAGAAAGTTGGCATTAGGAGCTGCGTCAGCGGTTGCGGATATAAGTACAACTTTAATTAATTGCACCTATACAGCGGATCTAATTTCACCGATTTTTTATATATAAAGCAGCTCAGAAAACGCGTGCGTTATAAACGCAAATAGTGGAGTTATGTTCCATAACCGCATATCCTAATTTTTAGCAAGGCAAACCAGTAGTCAGCGCCCTGATGACCAGATTTGGTTGAGTTTATTTCAAAAATGGTTGAGTTTATTTTAAAATCAAGTGTATTGAAAAACCTTACATGATATATGTGCGTATTAAACACACTCAGCTCTATTACGCCCTCGTCTTCGGCTCGGGGGTGAAAATCCACCTCGTGTGTTATAACTATCATAACGCACTTATATTGCTTAGAGCTTGCTGCTTACGTGACTAATAAAGAAATATTAAATTATTTCTTCCGTAATAAATGTTACTAGAATTGAAATATACATGGCGCTATACCGTGTCTTGTTTGCAGTGGAACATTTCGGACTACCTGTACCACAACCGCGATAAGCTGGTGGCGGCGCTGGCCAGCGAGGCCGCCGTATGTCCCGAATTGCCGCATCACGCTGATCTGCCGCCGCTCGACCGCCTCTGGATGTGTCTCTATATCCGCCTCAGTGAGTATAGCTAACACTGGAATGGAAGCATCAGTTTATCGTGATTATGCACTACACTACCTAGTAGTCAACTAAAATAGATCGAACTCATTACCATGTCTATCATTGGACTAAACATCACATAACGTGACTATCACAATCAATGTTGGAAGTATCCAATGTACACATAGACGTGCGTGCGTGCATGTGACGCACACACACATCAGAGCAGAGTGTTGAGGTGCATTGCGCGCGTGTGCAGGCGCGCTGTGCGTGGAGGCGCGTGCGCCGGTGCGGCGCGCGGCCAGCCAGACGCTGTTCAGCTGCGTGGGCGCGCACGGCGCGCTCCTCTCGCGGCCCGCCTGGCGCGCGCTCCTCGCCGTGCTCTTCCCCATGCTCGACCAGGTATGCCATCATCGTTTAAGTTGTAAAAACAACTGTCACGAATAATCCGGATCGAAGGATCAATAACATATACTACGACTGTTCTATACTTGTGCTCGAGTTTATGTACTAGATCTGTTTCCATAAATCCGGCTCGAGGGATCAATAACATATGGTATACTACAAATATTCTATACTTGTATTTTAACAGATATATACGGATCGACGGATACGATACAGTCGTAAGTGGTAAATGGTAATTATTAGAGTATAATATATATAGAGACTATAATTGGAAAACTCATTTTGATATATAAATTTGGCTCAAAGGACCGATAACTTTGTACGTTATATCAATTGGTCATCATACAACGAAAATATAATTGTTTTGTAAAAACTTAAAATACTAATTTTAAATGATTTTTAATAAATCGACCTTACACTACACACCATTGTTAGTCCATCGAGCCGGATTTATAAACCAATCTAAAACTTATATTTCTACTTTTTACGTACATATATTATACTCTCATATTGGTAAATACTCATTTACCATTGTATAGAAAATGTTCATTGTACAACACGTAAATGGTCATTCGATCCGGATTTAAGTGCAATAAATTCGGTTCTAGGGTGCAATTATATGTTACATATTCTATATAAGGATATATAAAATATTGAATATACCAATTAAATAAACGAGTTTCATGATCAACATATTTTGAAATAAAAATATGCTGTAGATCTCATATACTGTAGAAATAAATATAATATTTTATTAATAGGTTCAAAAACAAGCTAAAATAGCCAGCTCTGAGAAGGTAGACACCGGAGAACATATTTTAATACATCACACAAGAAATACAGCGCAGAAACAATGGGCAGAGACACAGGTAAGTAATATTTGCAAGCTTCTGCTAACTTTGTGTTCAGTATAAAAGTAGGCTATGTCCTTGTCGTCCCAATTCTACATATATACCTAATTTCTTGATGATAGATTAAACAAACAAACTCATTTTCGTATGTATAATGTTAGTTAAGATAGAAATAAAGTACAAAGATTTTGATCTTATTTTCATATATTATTCATAGAATATTTTTGCTACTTATGTACGTCCAAGTTATATTTCCCTATCATCCAATACGGCTAGTTTATGGATAAAAATCCTCTGAGAAATTCTTGAGATTATATAGAACAGACAGAAAGATAGAAATAGAAATAGAAATCGACAATCAAATTTCAAATTCAAATTCAAATCCAGGTCCTGACGCTGTCAGGCGTGTCCCGCGTGTTCCACTCGAGGTTCCAGCTGCTGACCACAGTCGGTGACTTCAACAGGTCCTGGGCGACGCTACTCGAATACATCACAGACTTTGCACTCACACGCAGTCACGAGGTAAATAATAATAACCTAGGACAATGCACACGGCGCCATGTGGTGCCACGCTAAGCAGAGCTTGTGTTGTCGGTACTAGACAACTAATAAAATACTTAAATGTTCACATAGAAAGCATACAGACCAATCATACGCATAAACGCAAAAGTTTGCACCGTGCGAGGAATCGAATCGCGACTATTTGAAGTAAATATCGAATCAAATCGAAAAATATCCATGACTGCGCGCGCTGATTTACCCGCGCGTTCCTGATCGCGCATGAAAGAACGTGTCGTGTAGCTATATTATTTTTCTTATTATTTTTTTTAATAATTGTATATATGTGCTCATTGTGTGGGGGTGTGTCGTGTGCAGGTGTCGGTGGCGGCGCTGAAGTCGTTCCAGGAAGTGGTGTCGGCGGCGGGGCGCGGGGCGGAGGGGGCCGCGGGGGCAGGCGGGGGGCTGCAGCGGCACGTGTGGGCCGCCGCCTGGGCCGCCTGGACCAACGTGGCCGCGGCGCTGCAGCACCACGCCGCGCCAGGTACGGGCGGGGGCCGCGGGGGGCGGGGGGCGGGGGGCTGCAGCGGCACGTGTGGGCCGCCGCCTGGGCCGCCTGGACCAACGTGGCCGCGGCGCTGCAGCACCACGCCGCGCCAGGTACGGGCGGGGGCCGCGGGGGGCGGGGGGCGGGGGGCTGCAGCGGCACGTGTGGGCCGCCGCCTGGGCCGCCTGGACCAACGTGGCCGCGGCGCTGCAGCACCACGCCGCGCCAGGTACGGGCGGGGGCCGCGGGGGGCGGGGGGCGGGGGGCTGCAGCGGCACGTGTGGGCCGCCGCCTGGGCCGCCTGGACCAACGTGGCCGCGGCGCTGCAGCACCACGCCGCGCCAGGTACGGGCGGGGGCCGCGGGGGGCGGGGGGCTGCAGCGGCACGTGTGGGCCGCCGCCTGGGCCGCCTGGACCAACGTGGCCGCGGCGCTGCAGCACCACGCCGCGCCAGGTACGGGCGGGGGCCGCGGGGGGCGGGGGGCTGCAGCGGCACGTGTGGGCCGCCGCCTGGGCCGCCTGGACCAACGTGGCCGCGGCGCTGCAGCACCACGAACTGTGCTACAAGAATGTATTTCCTAGAAGTCATTTTTTAAATATTTTTTTGATATTGCGATGTTATTAATTAGCATGTGTGTTGAACAGAGAATGAGGAGGGCAAACCGTCGGAGCCGTACGCGCCGTCGCTCAACTTCCTCACAACCCTCGTGCAGATATTCCCACTCATATTCCAACATATCAGGCCCACGTGAGTATTGTAATGGATTTCGTTATTTAAGGTGACATAAATAAATTTATAAATGTCATTTTACATACCATGATACTTATAAATTTTTTTTATTAAATAAGTTAAATTGAAACTTGATAAAAAACTTTTTATCATGTTTCTGACTTTTTCTTGAAATATTTTTACCAATACACAAGTAACAAGGTTTACTCTAGTTTTGGATTTTTAGGAGTCAATTTTATAGTTGATATAGAAATATTATTATAAATATTCACCCCACTTGTCACACTTACCCGAGTCTTCTTACATGTCTTGTCACACTTCATCGTTTCTCCATTCATCCCTTGTCACACTTCGTCGATTCTCCTTCCACCCCTTGTCACATCTCGTCGGCTCTCCTCCCAGCCGATGAGATAGTCGATCGTCCGTCGTGACATGGGTGTGCGGTGTGTCAGGTTCACTGCGGGGGACGTGTCTCGGCTGGGCGAGTGCTGCGCGCGCGTGTGCAGCGTGCGGCCCGCGGCGGCCATCGACATCACCACCAGCGGGCCCGGCGCCGCGCCGGTAGCGCTGCACGCGCTGCATTGCCTCGACGCTGTCCACAAGGTTCTTATCATACACCTTTGCCGCGCTTACTACTCTCAGAGACATTGTCAAATGTCGACGTAGGGTGGAACTGTAACGGCTGGACCTGGCTACCTCTCTTTAAGTTAATTTAAGTTTTTTTATTAGTATATAGAAAATTAGAGACTTGCTCAAGTATGTAAATTCTGTCGTGATAGGAAACCAATATGTCGGGACGCTTCCTCTCTGCTTTTAGATTGATAAATAATTAAAGCTATAAAAGAACTTGCACCTTCTACTGATGATTTAATTTTCATTTTAAATCAATATAAATATAATTTTAATTCTTAGCAATGATCTTTCTAACTAATTCTATTGAGAAACTTCCTAAACAGTGTTTTTGGTCCATCGAGACGGATAATTAAAATGCCCTGCAAATGTCCCATTCATTTGTCAGGAAACGTTAATCGCCGCCCCGAGATGTTCCTAAACTGCCTTCAATAAAAATGCCACCCAAATATAAATGTATCAGGAGGCGTTAGTCCGGCACGAGCTGCTGCCGCCGCTGTTCGTGGCGCTGACGTCGCTGGCGCGCGCGTGCTGGCAGCAGCCTGGCGGGAGCGGCGGCGGGGGCAGTGCCGGCGCGCGCTGCCTGTCAGCCGCGGCTTCGCTGTACCGCGCCGCGCCCGCGCCCAGCGCCGCCGTGCTGCCGCACCTGCTGCAGGTACCCCACACGCATATATGTCTCTCTAGAAATTATATTTACACAATTTTTTTTATTCTATCATTAACTCGGAACGCTGCTTCATTACCAGAAGAATGAAGAAGAAACTAACGTGTTGCTCTTTCAAATAAATGTTGTTCATAATTAGATTTTTTAGAATTTTATGTGATGTATACAAGCTGCTAAATAGCAAATTGTCATAAGTAAATGAATAGTTAGTTGAGTAACAAAATAAAGTAGTCATATTTATCAAAGTAGACCAGTCCTAACAAGAAGCACCCAAGAGTATAGCCATCACTGTGCTAACTAAAGGACATTCAATGGGTTATTCGAAAACTAGAAAAAAGTACATATTTGTAGGACCGTTAATCACCAATAACTGTATATCAGCAGCCTATGTCAATAATCAATATTAAGTTTACACATTCAATTGTTGTAGGCACTTCACGAATCTGTACAACGATACGCGTCAGACAAGTCGAGGCGGCGCAATTCTGATCAACCACCGGACGAGACGGCGCAAATAGCATCATTATTGTTACAGGTAATCATCAAATACCAAGTGATGATGTAAGTTCTCTCGTCAGTATGTCTTCTGTTCATATTAAGAGTTAGTCCTAAAGTATGCCAACCATAAAACATAAAATCTTAGAATCTAAAAAATATTCACATCTAGTAGCTATTCTTTCAGAGTAAAATATATTTCTACGATAAAATGGAACCAATATTTCAAGTTAAAACCCATAGTAGTACTTCGGAAATATCTGCAGATCAAAGCAGAGCTGTTTTTATGGCTACTAGACAACTGCTACATAATATGCATAGAAAACACCCAAACCAATACAAACAATCATACTTTTGGATACAAATGTTTGTGCGAGGTGCTAATCTAACCCGCGACAATCCGAAGTAAGACTGTGACAAATGAATAGACCAGCTAGACCGTCATTTAAAAATGAAACGTGTCAAATTTCATGAAGATATCACAGGTTTTACTGGCTTTCGGCCTATTCTCTTTAAAACTAACTCTTCATATTTATAAATTGTAGTCTCACAGTGTCCTAACTTGTGATTATTGTGGCAATCAGGTATTGGCGACTGCTCTGCCGCTAGCGAGAGAGGAACCTGAAGAGTACAAGGAGTTCTGGGAGACGCTGCCCACTGTCCTGGAGACGTTCATGTTTGAACCACCGTGAGTGATGATTGTCATCGTTGCTTTGGATAGTCGAAGGTGTAACGTGTAGCAGTTTATTACTTATCTTAAAAAATATTTAATAGAAATGTGTATGGAACTCTGAGCATAGGATTTAGTAAAATTATTGATTATAGCCACTGCACTAATGATGATGAAAGAAAGAAGTTACTGGGTTGTTGAAAACAAATCCAGTAATTTAAGAAAATTACTGGATTTGTTTTCTGTGGTTCCTTTGTAATTTTCTTGTATACATTTTTACTATATGCGATAGTGAAGTATTCTTTTGTTTTTGGTCACAAAATTTAATGTGTATCTAAAATCTATATGTCTTTGTTAAATTCGGTAATTCTATATGCGATGTAATCTATAATTCGATCTACGTCAGTTTTGATATAACATAAGATCGTCTAATTAGACAAAATTTATTTTAACGGCACTATCTACACACTTATGAGTATAATCGTGACATACGATCGTGATCCGACAGAGTGGGCCGATTAATAGTTGCAGAAAATATCTCAATCGAATCATAAAAGACTAGAATGGTCCTTCGAGCCGGACATTAAGGTTTTAAAAAAGTGGCTCGTTGGCTTGCAAACAGTGTTGTAAGCTTGCGCGCGCGTGTTAGCAGGGTCGGAGGGAGCGGCAGCGCGCGGTCGCTGGTGTCGCTGGTGCGCGAGGAGGCGCTGCACGCGAGGCCGCGCGCGCCGCCCGCGCCGCCCGCCGCGCGCGCCCGCCTGCTCGCGCTCGTGCGCGCCGGCTCGCTGCACGCGCAGCCGCCCCGCGACGCGCGTGAGTGCCCACCTGCACGCTTACCACCGTCCGGCCCACCCGACGACTGCCCGACTGTATATCGACAGCCTTACAAACTGACTGAGACAAAATCTATAATGTATATTACAAGTTCTATCGATTCCATACCTCTTGATGAATTATAACAAGATTTATATAATTATATATAAATCTTGATAATTCACAAAACTTTGATTACCTATAAAATGTTGAGCTCGTGCTGATAACCTGTTGTAGTAATAAGAAAAAAGACTAGGTAAACGGAGAAAATATATTAATATAGACTACTGACAATTAGGAATAGAAGTATCAAAAAACAAGAATGTAATATAAAAGAACTATAAATTCAAATACAAATTTAGAATATAAAATACATATCTGATTAGCCAGTTACATCACAAACTAAACTTCTTTGCTGCAAAAAAGCTGAAACGGTTATCACGCAATCGATTATTGTAATTATTGCACACGCTTAGTGACACTCGAGGTACCTGACGACTGACCGACTGTATATTGTTAGCCTTACAATGCAAACTTCACCGTTGAAAAATAATGGTATAATGTTTATTCACGCAATCGATTTTTGGAACTACTGCGCACGGTTAGGGGCATTCGAACAACCTAATGACTGACCGACTGTATATCGTCAGCCTTACAATGCAAACGTCTTGACTACAAAACGGGTGAAAGTATTATTAATGAAATCAATTTTTGTAATTATTACGATTACGTAATTATACCACTTTAGTCAATACCATTTGGTGAAAAATATTGTATATATTTATAACTTAAGCATATATTTATGATACAGAGAATGAACAAGAGTTGCGTGAGCGCGAGGAATTCGCGCGGACATGCTTCGAGACGTTGCTGCAGTTCTCCATGCTGGAGGACATCGACTCGTTCAACGGCGTCGACGGTCAGTTATAAATCTGTTACTTTTTACACCTACGGCTCAATCTTCTTTTAAAAGTTTAGTTTTGTCACCAGATGGCGTTGTGTTGTTTCAACACGCTATGATTTCGCATATTGGTACGCATTGTGCACGCATTTTGTTATTATTAGAATTTTCTTAAAGTTACATAAAGAAAGAAAGAAAGAAAAATATTTTATTCAGTGCAATGTAAAAAATACAATATAAACAACAAACGAAAAAAAAAGAGCAAATAAAATTTACATATAATTAAACTTAATTTACTATAATTAAAAATAAAAATAAAATAAACATTTTTTACATCCAAAAATGCACTGAAATGGCTCCACTCAGCTTTAATGTATGTCCTAGGTGAACATACAGCTGGTTTTCAGTGGCACCAAAAATATATATATATGAGGGGGAGAGAGAGAGGGCGCTATTTAAAATATTAATGATAATAATTAAAACAAAATTACAACTAATAAATACATAAGAGAGTAACTGTAATTCACGCAGGTTACTGCCTTGTATTCACTATTTCATTAACACGCAAGTTTCTTGCTCCTTTCTTTGATGAGTCTACATACTGAATGAGTGGTAGGATAAAAAATGCGACTATTCAAAAGTGTTTTTAACTATAAAGTTTATTTGAATAAAGATTATTTATTTCTATTTCTATTGCTAACAGATGAGGCGGACCCGTTGGCGATAGTGACTCTACTGGACAGGTTCCAGGAGGTCATTACGAGGTACACCACCGATGAAAACAACACCGACCCATTACCCAGGTCAGGACACGACACTGTCAATTAGATAGATACATTATTTATGCATGAATCTGTGTCTGTAGAAATATAGCATACATGAGGTAGAGAAAAAATACATGAGCAAATAAAAAAAATGGAAGGGGCTTTATGTACCGCAAAGGTGAAAGTAACCAACTCAGCATAAAGCTACAGATAAATCTGCAGCGCTGATATTCTGCTCATACATGATTGCATAAACGATAAAGCACCCTTTTGTATTATATCTCTTTCTGTAATTTTGTATTCTGTAATTTATCTGGTCCAATCATGGGCATATAAATACATTAATAAAATATTCTTTTGCAGACACCAGATATCCGAGATATCGTTCGTTCTCAAAGCGGTGGCAACACTCACGGAATCCATGAAGAAGGCGCCTCCTGGTAAAGTGGACGCAGTCGCTTGGCAGAAGTTAATAGGTGAGATTAATTTACATGGAATGTTATCTGCCTGTAATGTATGTAAGACACAAAATTAATATCTCTACATATAGATAAAAAAAATATGGTCCTTTGCCATATTTTTTTATCTATCTCACACACCCACAAGGCACTGTAATTTTAACAACAAAAATAAAAAAGCAAATACACAATTACATAGATCAGTAAATAAAATAAAATACAATACAGATAAACTACAATACAGGTCCAAAAAAACGGTGTGAGTAACGTAGTGTGTGTGCATATATATAAGAAAGTAACCAATCAAAATAATATCTTTTAGAAATTCTGTATACGCATTATTCTCAGAAATAGATTAATTGGTTATGGTTTTTGGACCGAGTTCAGATTGTCTGAAAATTAATTTTGAACTTAGTCACCTGATCAAGTATTAAAGCCATATTGTGCGTGACCGTGTAATTGGTAACAACAAGTATACTGTAGAGAGAGAGAAAACATATACTTGCTATAATATAAGAACGGTTTAAAGGTTGGTAGAATTGAATTGAATGAAAAATAATGAAAATGAATTGAAGAAACTTGATTTATTAAACCACATATGTTTTTTAATGTAAGAATTTCTTATATTTATACAAGAATCAACAATTATTTAACATTTTCATTCCGAAATTGTACAAGAACATACCATACAAATTATTTTTGTCTCAAAAATCGAAACATATAAATAAAGAACAAACTATTTGTATTTATCTAAACTGAAATCCTAATTAAAAATACCTACACGTTTTAACCATTACAATAATTATAATAATCGAATCCCGAAGTGTTAGTTGGATTGCCGTGAAATATCCATATAACATCAATAATAGCTACCTACTCCGATCAATTATAATAATATTAAGTCGTCGGAAATAAAAAATAGTTCATTATACTGACAATCCTCGTCCCGGTAGGACTGTACCCGTCGCTGGTGCGGCTGGCGGCGTGTGGCGGGTGTGGTAGCGGTGGCGGCGGTGGCGGCGGTGGTGGCGGCGCGGACGTGGGCGCGGCGCTGCGGGAGGCCCTGCTGCAGTACGCGGCGCTGCTGTGCGCCCCGCTATAGCGCCGCGTGCTCTACACCATACACATATAGAGCACGCGCCTCTAGACACGCAGTGCCAGATGGTAGGTACCAAACTAAATAAATATAAATAACGTGTTTCACTATATAACCCTGGACAATTAACAGCGCTATCTAGTAGAGCTTGTGATAAGGGTAATAAACAACTATTATATATTTCTTGTAAATCGGTCAGTTCATTATGGATTTATTTATTTATTTTATATAACTTCAATGCACAAAATACCAAGGTAAAAGTACATATGGCGGACTTAACGCCTTAAGGCATTTTCTACCAGTCAACCATAGGCTGTGCAGAGAAAAACTGTAGGCGGTGCAAATATAATTAATAAATACAATAGGTCAAAAAAAATATATATATACATATACTAAAAGTAAATACATGTAAACACATGCATATACATTTATCACGATGGTTTCCAGGGTGAACTGCGTGGAGGTACAAACAAACTGACATGGTACATTAATAGCAATATAGTTATTAGTCCACATGAATCCTAGTAATAATCACCGTCCCCCTATATATTGTACTAGTTGTGACCGCGGTTTCACCTGCGGGATATTTATAGCTGTTATATATGTTGTTGGTAGAGACGATGTATATTACAGATGATAATAGACTGACAATATGTACATAAAAATATTAATCTTTTATACTAAATTACAATAGGAAAATGTAAAGTGGGGTGACACAGTTTAGACACGACAATGCTTAGTACACAATATTGGATTTGTCTTACTAATATTATTAAAGGCAATTATTATTTTGATGTATCTAGGTAAATGTATCCCATAATAGTCTATATGTTATTCTGAATTATAAGCTAAGCTATATTACTGTAAAGTTTCATCAAAATCCGTTCAGTAGTTTTTGCGTGAAAGATTTACAAACATCCATCCATACTCACAAACTTTCGCGTTTAAAATATTAATAAGATTTGCGCAATAATGTTAAAATAAATAAATACTATTATTAATAAATATTGTTTTTTTTTTTTAGATAAAGCGGACGTTTCCAGTCATCAGTAGTGGACGCTGTTAAGACAAAAGTGCCAGAACATTATATTAATATAAACAAACATATGCAATCTTTTTTTAACGTGTGAAACATATTCACGAAAATCATTTACCGGCGGAGTGGAAGTCGTTGGTTATATGTGGGATTTTTACCCATTAAAACCACATGCAGTACCAAACGACGATGCAGCCGAAGTCGTAGAATTGAGTTAGTATTCTACGATGACTATGGCAGTGATGGCTCGTTTAAGACCTGCTCTCTTCGGTTAAGACAGATTAGGCTTACCTTCTCAAGAAGGAAAGGAAAGGAGCCTAGGTCCTTTTGGGGTGAATACAATTATTGTGAAATTTTAGCTTTGATCACACTTCACATTACTAGATTCAGTAGTTGAGTTTTATAATCCATTTGATACAGTAAAATCATTGTATTGGATGTCCTAATTCATATAGGTTTGTTAATGCTAGCAACGTGTTGTTCTTTATGAAAGAAATGTTTTTTATAAATGGTAAGAGATACGGTACAATGGGTATTTACCATCGTCTGTTATTTAGTAATAAATAAGTTTATAATTTGTATAGTTGCCGGACGGCCTCGGTGGTCTAGCGGTTTAGTACACCGCTTTACTTCCGAGGGTCGCGGGTTCGATTCCTCGCACGGCCCAAACATCATACATGAGAACGTTTGTATCTGTCTGGGTGTTTTCTATGTATATTATATATGTATTTACAACAAAATGTCTAAGTATTTATATCAGTTGTCTAGTACCCATAACAAGCTCTGCTTACCGTGGGACTAGATGATACTGTGTTAATTGTCCTGGGTTAATTATTCTTTATATATGGACTTTAATTCCCAAGAAAGGTAAGAAAGTCCATCGAAGTACAGATATATAAAAATTCATATGGGAAGACTGTTAAAGGCTCTCTAAGTTTTGGAATCCACGGATTGGTTCGACTAAACAAAAACAAAAATCGTGATCTGAAAGTGTATTGAGTGTACGTGAAAATACTGTGAGTATAGTTTGCCGAGATGATATTCGAGCGAGTTTCAATAGTAGCAAACGTGTGAAGGTAAACAAATAAGTCTATCCATAATGTTATTTACCATCTACCTGCTACTCTTTAACTGTGACCATGGCGGTTGTAACACTGCCATAATATCGGGAACTCAATAAAAAAAAATACAACGTCATACAGCTCCCTTTTTTTATTTTATGTACATATGTTTTGTATTATTACTTCTATTAATAATCTTTATTTGTTATTCAAGATATTATTAATGTCGTCATTACCAAATAACAGTTGAAGGTATTTATTCCTTATGCCGTATCTAAGACCAAAATAATATTGTTGAATATAATGTACCAAGTGTCATTAGACATCGTACGCTTAATAATGAACTGCAGTTATTAAATTGGAAATTCGACTTTAAATCCAAGCAGTTAAAGTCGATTTCTCAATGTTTTTAAAATTGCATGGGGTCTATTATTAAGCAATGCGTATTATAAAAATATGATTTTATATTTAGTTATGTATATAAGTAGTTAAAGATGTTTTGAACGTTATGACAAGTTATTATATACGAAGTTGTAATTATTTAATGGTTTATTTAATTTACAATAAACTGTGCATTATTATAATAATATATTCTTTATTGTACACACATAGGATAAAAAATAGTGATACAATATCTGTAATCTACAAGCTTATTTCTAAAAAGATCTCTTCCAGAAAACCTATAAAATGTTATAGGATAGTGTGTTAACTAGATCAGTCGATACATGTACGAAAAAGAGGAGAAATATAGTACGGAGATGTAACAGGTAAGTTCTCAGAATGACGACGTATAAGGTGCCACAGACATAGCATTCCCAAAATTTTTTTAGCCATTCAACTTCTTTGGCCTTTATTGCTTCACCAGGAGAGTACAGAGGACACTCCAAACCCTCTGAAGGACTTATGGAGCGGCTGAAGGCCAACTCCTGCCTGACGGGTACGACTTTAGACTGAGGGCACCGTTAGAGGCTGTCATCTCGGCCCAGGCCGTCCTAATTTTTAAATCCGTTTAGGACAGAGTATCGATCGATGGCGTATTATCTGTGGTATTGCTCATGTATATAAGCGACGGTTACCACTTACCATTGGGTGGACCGTTATCTTGTTTGCAAATTTAAGAAATTATTTATTGTGACCCAACAAGAATAATCCGGCTCGAAGGACCAAACAATTCTAAAGGTTGTTTCCTACACTTGGTTGATAATGATAAAATTATAGTGTTGTTTATAATATACGGGAATGATTAAATGAAATATACGTGCCGTTGTGAGTACTTGTTGTTACTAATTTTATTACCTTTTAGTAAAATGATACTTGCTGCTGAATAGGTAATTTATATAAACATATAATTATTATTGTATGGTGTTCCGTACAAAAGTATGTACCTCACTCACTATTATATTATTGTATTAATAATGCAAAAGTTTGAACGTAAACTATGACCAGTTTATGTTATGTTATGTCACTACAGCACACGCGTGATTCTAATTGTGTTAGACACTTTAATTAATTTTAATTACTATTAGGAGTCATCTGTAAATAAAGCCACATGAATTTCATGATTTTTTACTTCTCCCCTCGTTCTTGTCACAGCTGGTCACATTTGTGAAGCTCCTTCTCCCTAGTGCAACGTCACATTATGACAAATTATTAAAATTACAAACTAGTTTCCATTTTTAATTATTTAAAATATATTGATTAATAAAATGTAGATTTTGTAACTTTATTTACTTAATTAATTGGGATATAAAGTATTTAACATGAACGTGGATGGATAGAAAAGGAGAAGACGACCGAGAAAAGATGTATGGATTGTATGAAAGATGGATATGTATAAAAAGAGAGTAAGTTCAAATATTACAGCCAATAGCGATCAATGGAAGATAACATACTGCGCCGACTACAAATAACGGGGTAAAGGCAAGGCAATGATGATTTTATTGGTCTACTTATGATCCATATTATATTTGGACTCATAAACATTGTTAGTAAAGTGTCGTCATTCGCAGATAGCGTCTGAGGCCTGTTTCATTGAAGCAGTATCATAAATGTAAAGGAATACAAACAATTTAAGGAAAATTGCTATCAGATTGGACTATTGCATATAAAAACAGATTGCCAATTAGCAGTATTCAAAAGAAAAAAAAACGCGTCGAAATCGTTGACGCCTCACTTTGTCACACTACGTGACATTCCTCATCCCATCCATGGAGGACAGATGTGACATAATTTTTGAATGACCCCTAATCATTTTTATCCAGATTTTTGTAGTCACGTGTGTTCTGAAGTTGCAAATTAATATACGTTCTATTTACTTTAGTTTTAGTAGCATAATCGTGTGGCAATACATTTGTACCGTGTATAAACATTATAAAGTTAATAATAACCATTTGCAATGTTTTAGAGTTGTTATGATTTAAGATAGTATGTTTATTTTGTATATACAGTGAATAAATTTTAATATATACATATTGTTACTATAGTTTTATTGGTAAATACCCCTCCGATTGATCCTTCATCGAATTCAAACGGGGATCGCAATTACGACAGCGTGAGCCGAGGTTCGACCTCTTAGTTGTTATGATACTAAAGTCGTATCTGTCAAGCAGGAGTCTGGAATTTGAAGTGCCATCTGCACTCGCCCCCTATCGTTCGGTGAAACTGTTGACGTCATCTGCGGATAAAATCATTAGAATATTTCGAAAAAAATAGCAATACTTGCTTCATTACGCGGATGAAGCAGGTATTGTTATCTTTACATTACTGCATTTAAACATTGGTAATATATGATGTTAAAAAATACATAACCATCTGTTATTTGATTAGTCAATTAATTAACAATAGTATACCATATATGGCATATAGGAAATTAAAATAAATAAAATATAATTTTCTCCCTTCATGCACATCACAATTTTTAGAAATAGAAATATTCTTTATTATTATTTATATAAAAAAAAGTCATAGTCATATTATTTTTGTTTGAGCAAGAAAGTACACAACTTTCTTACTCTTTTGAATACATGTCATTTCAAATATTTTTTTTATTATTATCGCTGCCGTCCAATACAGTATTACTCAATCTTATATTTCGTTTATCAAAAAATAAGTGATGTCTGGCTATCCTAGAATACTGAACATTACCTATGAATAAGGATGTTTACAACCACTATGTAATATTATCCTATCTGTGCTGTGTACCAGAGAACCCGCTGAAGCATTCGGTGCAGTGTAATATAAACCATAATGTTATTCGTATAGAGAACAGAATACTTTAATATTGATTCATCAGCATGCACGCCACCTGAGACTGATCGAAGCCTCAAAATTACGGATACATCTGCATTATATAAAAGTATTGTAGGTATGTCCATCTATGTCGTATGTGACCAATAATCAATCCATTTTCATATCAAATTTCAGACCCGTTCTGCAGTTTAGTCATAAAAGAGTACCAAACTGACCACTTTCGCATCTATAATATTACTATATATGTATACTAGCTGTCCAGTAGCAGACGAAGTTGAGAGATCTTCGTCTGCATCAAACTTACTTGACATTTATCATTATATTTCGCCCAATGTACATAATATCTTATTAAATTATAACCTATGTGCTATTCTGATATATAAGCTTACTGTAAGATTAATCAAAATCCGTTCAGTAGGTTTTGCGTGAGCAACAAACATACATACTCACAAACTTTTGCGTTTATAATATTAGTAAGATGTATTTAGGTACTCCATGCACCTTTCAATATTGATCCATTGGAAACATATTTAAAAGCCGGTCAAGTATTTTAGTCATCACTCATTTTAGTACAATGTTATGCATTCCAAGTTATTGAATTTATTCTATACCTAGTAGGCCAAGAGTTGTCCCAGTGAATGCACTCGCAAACGAAGTTCCCACACAAAGAATCTATTTCCGATGCACCAGTTGAGTTACGAAAATAAATATCAGTGCCGGATACATTTGTTTGGAAATATAAGGGCTCGCTCTGACTTCGTCTTGGTGATCATACTTGAAATCTCAAAATTATTTATGACTAACATACGATCTTACGCTTTCTTGTGTACCTACTTCGCATTTTATTGTTTGCGAGTGATTTAAGAAATTATTTGTCGTATCTTAACAAGAATAATCCGGCTCGAAGGACCAAAAATTCTAAAGAGTTATCCCTACACTTTTGGTTGATATTGATGAAATGATAGTGTTGGTGATAATATATGGGGAAGAAATTAATTGTCTTATCTTAACAAGAACAATCCGGCTTGAAGGATCAAAAAATTCCAAAGGTTGCTCCCTACATTTACTTCGCATTTTTTATCACTATCCAAGACCTTACGCATAAAAACGCCGTTTAGTATTATACATACTATCACTGACTTGGTTTTCGGTCTATTTACTGGCTGATTTAGGATATATGCCCTATATATCTACCCTTTACCACTATCTATATATAATGTATCATTCACTAATAATTTACCAGCCATGCTTCTTCGCTTATCCCACTTCCCACAATCTTTCATCATCTTTGTGTATTAATAGTTAAAAAGTACGTTATTATTATTCTGTAGTAAAATTAATAAATAGAATAAATAATAAAAAGGCAAGTTGTCGAAATTCGACCATAATTTATTTAAATTATATGATTAACGTATAAGTGTCAAATACACGGTAGTGTGTTTACACACAGTACCATGTTTTTTTTTATGGATTTAATGTATTTTTTATGCATATTTCTGAAAAATCATTAGCACTCTGCACTCCTCTAAAGCAACTATATGATACATATGTGTGCATTACTGCATACTTCTCGTGCATTCAATTTTCGTAAAAACTGGTGCGAAGTATTTGCTATACATTTCTATTAATATCTAAAAAACTATGTGATATTAGTGAACTAAATACATATATCAACTAAATACTAAGATATTCTTCAATAATTATGTATACTCATTCATATATGTATACCTGCCTACATATATATCTATATATGTAAATAAAATTGAAGTGTCTGATTGTAATATTGAAATAATCGTCTTTTACTACATACATATGAATTTAAATACGGTACATATACTTAAATAACATTTTTTACAATTTTTGTCTATCTGTCTAATTGTTCCGACTAATCTCTGATATGGCTGATGTAATAAGGAAGAATTTAGGCTACTTTTATTTTACAAAAGTAAAGTTAAATTCCATATGGACGAAGTCGCGGGTACAGCTAGTCATACATAAATTTTTCACTTACATATGTTTAATATTAAGATTGTCTTCCTTCTATGTGGGTGTATGTAGAGACTTCCACATAAGGACGGCTTGCAAGTGACTATACCATTAGGTACCTAATTGGTCAGACCATTCGATATCCACTCCTATTTATGTATATGTAGTCATACAATATTGTTTTGAATAAACTGTATTTATAATTTTATATTATCTTTATTTATTTCTTTAAGTTACTATGGAAAACGTGTAGCCTAATAGTCTTAATTTGAAATTACCAACAGACACTTAAATTTTATTTATTTAATAGTAATAATTTTAAATAATTGTAATAATTTATTGAAATCGTATAGATTTATAAATCGGTTCTATACGATTCGTAATTCGTAAATCTATACGATTTCAATAAAATATTACTATTATTTAATATTATTACTATTAAATAAATAAACTTTAAGTGTCTGTTAGTAGGAAATTTCAAATTAAGAACTTTTCCCTAAATATGTGCATATGACAATATATAAAATAATAATATCAGAATCATTGGCTGTGTAGCTGATCCTGCTAATCTCTTAAACGAAAGGAGCGATTTTGACGGGACCTTCGGACGCAGATAGCTAATGTTACAAGTAATATCTTAGCCTAAGTTACTTTTACTATTATTTTAGAATTTCATTCATTTTAATAAAAAAAGTTAAATTCCACACGGACGAAGTCGCGGATAACAGCTAGCTGTAAATGTAATATTTATTACGTTATCTGATGTTGAAATATTGTGTGATCGACTGCATCCGCTTATTATGTGTAGGTTGTTAAGTTATACAGACCATTGCAGGCAATTCCTACCATCAAACTAGATCACTATCTTAGAAGACACACATATTCTACACTAGCTTTTACCTACGACTTTATCTGAATTTAAAGAGAGAACAGAACAGATAGCCTGTGTCTGTTCTCCGTGATACAATCTATCTTCACGTAAAATTTCATTAAGATCCGTTCAGTCGTTTAGTCGTGAAAAGATAACAAACGGACATACATATTCATGAACGAATGTATGGCGCCTGTAACGCCACAAAATCGACATGTGCTTAATTATGACCCGCGTTGTACGTTGCCTTTTCCTGGACTTTCCAATTCAGACAGGAATCGATATTACGACGACCTGTGCCGCGCTTCGAATGCCTAGCGGCGCCACAGACTTACGTCGAATCCGTCAGACAAGAGTTGACCTTCAGCCGCTCCGTATGTCCTTCCGCGGGTTTGGAGTGTCATCTGCACTCGCCTGGTGAAGCTGTATAGGCCAGCTACGGTTAACAGCATAGAAATAATAAAAAAAAGTTACTTCAGAAATTGTAATACCTCTGGCACCCCTCAAACGTCGCCTTTCTGAGAACTTACTTGTTATGTCCCCGTACTATATTATAATAGTAATGCGCAGTTTATTGTAAATCAAGTAAATAATTATGTAGTACCGCCTATCGTCCGGTGAAGTTGTAAAGGCCAGCTGCGGCCAACAGCATTAGAATAGTTCAAAAATAAAAGCCTTTTCCTAGCTCTAAGTTACCTCCTTACCCTGTAATTTTACTACCATATCTCACCTTCGCACCGGAACTAAAGTGTGCACCGTGCGTGGCTACCTTCCACGCAGACGCCTCTGTACAATCTCCTCTAAAAGAGGGAAAGGGGATTGTTAGTAATGTGGACTGATGATCCCATTGCTAGCAATGTACCATGTCAGATCAACCTCCACGCGGTTCCCCCTGAAAACCATCGTGATACATTCCCGGTGAATTTGTCACGTTGGGCTAACTGATCTGACTTCGTGTTCATCTTTTCATCCTCCACTGGTGCCCCGCCAGCGTAAACCGTTAGCGCTGGCGGGTGCACCATTCCATTATCATCCTTTAAAAAAAATCTCTAATAATAAAACATCCACATACCGTGGTAGGTACACTTTACAGATCGCGGTTCTTATACTAAGCGAAAGATGGCGTAGATGATCGTTGAACCCTAATCTGTATCCTAAAATAGATGTTATAAATACCAGCTTGTTTTCCTTATATCTGCCATTTTATACAGAGCAATAAACTCATTACTCTGTATAAAATAAGAGTGTCCATGTGTCCACGAAAAAAGAAAATATAAAATACATATATATATGTATGTTTCCTTCACATTAACGGATCAACCAACTGCTATAGAATAAGGGATACACATGATAATTTTTTTGCGGTCTATTCTAAAGTCTGGTGAAGCTGTAAAGGCCGCAGTAAGCTTTTACAGCTTCAGCTACCTGACTTGAACTGACGATAAGGGGCGAGTGCAGAAGGCACTCCAAATCCGCGGAGGGACTTGTAAACCGGCTGGAGATCCACTCCTGCCTGACGGATACGACTAGTCTGAGGGGGATTGTTAGTAATATCACAGATAATATAATATTACATAGTAAAATGGTCTAGTGGACTTATTACCAGCAATGTATCGTGACAAGCCGGCCTCCACGGGATCTCCCTGGAAACCATCGTGGTTAATTCAAAGAGGCAAATATTCTCACCGTAGCTTCTCAATTTATATATTCAAATATCCTATATGTTCATAAAAATCTTTACTTATTTCCAAAAAATAGCAATATTCATAATATTAATACTAGATTTAAAGACTTGCTGTCCCCAAGTATCGTTTAGAAAAAGTCAATAGGTCTTTTATGGGAATAGGTACAAAATTTCAGAATAAGATACCAAAGGATATATTGGAATTACCCTTAAATAAATTCAAAACATCTGTTAAATCATATTTACTGAGCAAGGCCTATTACTCACTAAACGATTACTTGAATGACGAGCGTGCATGGCAATAGTTTTCATGTTCGGGATTTTCATTTAATGTTAGACATAGACACCTATATAAATACCTATGCATTGTAAATAAACTGGATTTAAAAAAAAATAATTCAATTGAGATTCTTGCCAGTTCTCCTCAATTTGATCTATATACCGAACAGGACGGTAGGAAAAAAGAATTATAATGTATAAACTTGACGCTCATAAGCGGCTAAAATGTCCTAAATGGTTAAATGATTTTTGAATTTGAATTTGAATCTGTGAACACTTAACGATCGGCCGTGTTCTGGAGTAATCACAGCGGATTTTCGGGAATAATGAAATTAAAGACGCAGAGTAACTTGTACGACTTCTATATTTTTAACTTAATAAAAACTACAAAATTGTATGAGCACAAATCGCAAAAGTGTAGTATTTGCGTAAATAAAATAAGTAGGCGCTTTGACTTCACAACATGCCCCCGGCATTGAAAGCTACGCTTTCAATCAGACTCCGATGATACTGGTAATGGGCAGATTTTGCTAAAGGCTCGCCGAATAACTCCAGTGGATGTCCGGATATCAGCAACCCGTACTATGCCGTCAAGACCAGGATGAACTCCCACAACTCTTCCTAATTTCCACTTTAATGGCGGAAGATTATCCTCCTTAATTACTACCAACGTATTCAATTTTAAATTATCCTTGCAAGTACGCCACTTGACACGTTGTTGCAATTCTGCAATGTACTCTTTGCTCCATCTAGCCCAAAAATGTTGTCGTAATTGCTCAATGCGTTGGAACCGTGTTAAATTATTTGTGGAATGTCTTTGATAATCTCGGTCTGGCAAAGAAGTCAGAGACCGCCCAATTAAAAAATGGCCTGGGGTTAATGGATTATAGTCCGCAGGATCCGAAGAAAGTGGTGTCAGGGGTCGAGAGTTCAGCACTGCTTCAATTTGTATGAGAGTGGTGTTAAGCTCTTCATAGGTTAATGTACAATTACCCAACACTCTCTGTAAGTGGTATTTTGTCGACTTTACACCCGCTTCCCATAAACCTCCGTAATGAGGAGCATACGCCGGAATAAAATGGAAGCCAATGCCATCACAGGCTACACTTTCGCCTAAAGAATTACAATTCGTCTTTAGAAATTTTGAAATGTCGTTGTATGCACCCACAAATGAGGTACCATTATCGGAATAAATATTGACAGGTTTACCTCTTCGCGAAATGAATCGACGTAAAGCAAGTATATAATTATTACTAGTTAAATCGCCTACCAACTCTAAATGAATAGCTTTGGTAGTGAAGCAAACAAAAACTGAAATATAAACCTTTACTAGCTTACAACCGCGGCCTTGTCGACTAGCGGACATAATAGGTCCGGCATAATCGACACCGACCGTTTCAAAGGGATAGCCACCAGAAAGTAGGCGCTGCTGTGGTAAATTTCCCATCAGGGGGGTTACAATTTTACCCTTCATGCGTGTACATCTGATACAATTGTGATAACAGGTTTTCGCTAAATTTCGCCCGCCTATAGGCCAATACCTTTCTCTTATAGATGCTAGCAACAATTGAGGACCGGCATGCATTAGCCGTTTATGCTCATAAATAAATAATAATTTTGTAAAAATGTGACTGGACTGTAAAATTATAGGATGTTTTTTATCTTGTGAAAAATTTGAATTATCAATACGACCTCCGACGCGCATTAATTTATTTTCGTCCATAAAGACGTTCAGTTTTAATAGTTGACTGTTTTTTGGCAAATTATCATTATTTAACAGTAACTTGTACTCGGCAAAGGATTCATATTGACTATTTGAAATAATTAAAACTAAGGCGTCGCGTAAGTCTACCTCTTCTAAAAAATTTGATACTACAAGTACCTTTTTACAATATTTGATAAATCTTAAAACATAGGCAACTGATCGCAATAGTCTTAAATAATTAGAAAAGCGACTAAATTCAATGAGCCCACAGGAATTTTTATTGTTAATAACAATAGCATTTAGAGATATGTCTGGTTTAATTTCTGGGAGAACTTCAACACACTTCAGTTGCGTAGGCCACTTCGACAAGTCATTCATGAGAAATTGCGGACCAGACCACCATAAGTTTAAACCTTGCAGATTACTAATATCCACACCACGAGATATTAGATCTGCTGAGTTTTCATCAGTTGGTACGTGTCGCCATTTACAATTTTCTGTCCTTTCTAAGACTTCAGCAACACGATTACGTACAAAAGGCTGAAGTCTAGAAGGCAGCATACGTAACCAACGTAAAACTATGGTGGAATCTGTCCAGCAGTAAGCTTGATCTATTCCCAATCTAAGCGACGTGATGACCTTATCATATAGCCGCGCTCCCATCAACGCACCGCACAGTTCCAACCTAGGTATTGTGGTAGGCTTAATAGGAGCTACTCGGCTCTTAGCCATTAACAACCGAACCATAACTTCACCAGAAGTACTGACGCTACGCAAATAAATGCAAGCTCCATATGCACGCTCTGAAGCGTCCGAAAAAACATGCAACTCTAACGACTTACAGGAGTCGCAAATAACAATCCTCGGTACACGAAGATCGTTCAAAAGAGGCAAAGTTTTACGAATGTAATTCCAATGACGATTAATATCATCAGTTAATGGTTCGTCCCAAGCTAATTTTTTAATCCAAAGCTGCTGTAACAATATTTTCATATTAATTATGCATGGAGCCAAAAGTCCCAATGGGTCAAAAATTCGAGCAATCATCGAAAGAATATCACGTTTTGTATTACCATTAGGAACTAGAGAACTTATTGGGAAACAGAGTTCATCAGAATCTGTGTGCCAACTAAGACCTAATAACTTATTTGGCTCATCACTCCCAATATTCAAATCGAATGATGATGCTTGAACGTCCTGAGGATCAATCATCAAAAGAGGAGTATTCGATTTCCATTTTCTTAATGGCATACATGCAGAAGCAAGTACATTAGTAACTTGCTTACGTATAGCTTGAACTTCAGCCAAATCGTTACCGCCCGTTAATAGATCATCAACGTAAAAATCATGTTGAATGATCTCGGAAATTTTATCATCCTTGCAGTCGATTCCTAACTGCTTTAGACAGCGTGTAGCCAGAAATGGAGCACTGGATGTTCCATATGTGACCGTGTTCAATATGAATTTTGTAATTGGCTCAGCTACATTACTACGCCACAGTATTTGCTGTAGATGTCTATCAGACGGGTGGACAATTATTTGTCTGTACATTTTTTCAACATCTGCAGACAAAACATATTTATGCTGCCTAAATCGAAGCAATATGGATATCAAATCATCTTGGACGGTGGGACCAATCATTTGGATGTCATTGTAAGAAACACCTGAGGTCGTAGGAGAACTGGCATTAAATACAACACGGAGTTTGGTGCTCGTGCTACTATCTCGCATAACACCGTGATGAGGAATGAAATATTCCTTTTCATCTACCTCAGGCTGTTTATATTCTGACATATGGCCAAGCGATTTATACTCTGTCATGAAGTTGCTATACATATCTCTCAATTCAAGATTGCTCGTCAACCTACGCTCTAAAGAAAATAAACAGTGTTCCGCTCGATGAAACGAATTACCTAAAACAGAAGAATCATGTTTAAGCGGTATACGGACGCAGAAACGACCGTCATCGAGGCGCGTTGTGTTCGCAACAAAATGTTCCTCACACATTCTTTCTTCCGGAAAATAATTTGATTTGGAGCATATCTCTTCCAGCTGCCAGAATCGTGTCAAGTCAGCTCGAATGTCGTCCAAATCATGACTTGAACTAGAATCAATTTTATTAAAATTACATTTTATATCATTTAAATGCATAATTGTGTCATGATGACTAAAGATAGGACCTGAAATTATCCACCCTAATCTGGTTTCGCACAATACAGGCTTTTTCTTACCTAATATTATTCTCCGCGTCCCTACCAAATCCCAAAAGAGATCGGCACCAATCAAGATATCAACATCTGCTGGTACAAAGAACGTAGGATCCGCCAAACTAATGTCAGTAGGGATGTCAATATTAGAAATATTAATTTCGTGACCGGGTACATTACTTGTGATTGATGGCAAAACATAACATTGAAGCTCAGAAGAGAAACTGTTATTCAACGACGTCATGTGCACATGACAAGTTTTGCCTACGCGTAAAGTTGCGTTATTTACACCCATGATTGACTTATCTACCTGACAGGTTTCCAAATTTAATTGTCGACACAATCTCTCAGTCATTAGACTTGATGTACTACCACTGTCTAATATTGCACGTACTATATGTTCGTGATTATTCTTATCATATAATTTTACCAACGCAGTAGATAATAATACATCACATTGAATTTTATTATAACTAGACATATTTGCTGCTAAAGTTACATTGTCAGAAGCAGCAGTCGTTGAAGACGACGCTAAAGGTGTAGTTTCAGATACGACTCTATTTTCATTACGAATATGATGATCATTGGCTGCATGAATCAGAGTGTTGTGTCGACGCTTGCATATTTTGCAACCTGGCCTTTTGCATAGATTAGCAAAATGACCTACACGAAAGCAATTGAAACATACCTTAAAACTGGGTAGTACCTTTAGGCGCGCTTCAACGCTCAACGCAAGAAACTGGGGGCAACCGGTTAGACTATGGTCACCCTTACACTTAGGGCAGATTCGATTATGTGATTCTGCTGTATTGGAATTCTGATGTGGATGACTGCCATGAACTGAAACCATAGATTTTAATTTCATAGTCGATTTATGATTTAAATTGCCCTGATTGACACGTGAAAGCTCTAATGTTTCAATCAAATCTGCACGATTTCGGATAAATTCTAGAAAGGTGTCAAAGGTAATTGAAGTATCTTTATGTGAATGCCCCTTAAATTCCTCCCACTCTCTATAAGTTTTACTATCTAATTTATGGGTAATAATATGGATTAAAAGGGTATCCCAATGTTTGACAGGTTCACCTAATGATTCAAGTGCCCGCAAGTTTTTATTTACCTGATCAATTAACCGCTTTAAATTTGCTGATGACTCCTTTGTTATTGCTTCCACATTGAACAAAGAAGACACATGATTTTGTATCAACAGACGTTTGTTGTCAAATCTATCGCACAAAAGTTTCCACGCAACAGCATAATTACTAGATGAAAACTCAACTGATTGAATTACCACGGCAGCAGAACCCTCTAACGATGCACGCAAATAGTGAAATTTATTCACTTCGTCTATTTCATCATTGTTGTGTATAAGGCTAGTAAAGGTGTCTCTAAATTCCAAATAATCATCGTATGAACCACTGAATCGCGGTAGCTGGATGGTCGGAAGACGCACCAGCTTATGATTATTGCTCGCTCGAGTACCTCCATCACTACCCATATTGCTCATAGTCTCAACATTAACATTTTGTAAACCTTGGGCTTTCGCGATTGCCTTGAAATATTGTGATTCAAAGTCGGAGCGCTCTTTAAATTGCTCTTCACTGTTATCAACTATACATTCAAGGCGCAACTGTACCTGATCATACTGTTCATACAACGACTCAATTTTACCCATACGTAATTGTAATTCTCTGGCATCCGAGAGACTTAACGGTTCATCAGTTAGTGTATGCAAATAATTAATAAATGCAGTTAAACGGCCTTTAAAACTGCCTCGCTTTTTTATTAACTCCTTTTCTTCGGTCATTATGGGATTCGAGTGTTGTCGACCTGGAATTTATACAATTAAAAAATTAATTCTAATTAATGAAATAAAGATCTACGATCAATAGGTATGAATACAAAATATTAAGCTAACAATATGTTAATTCGATAAAGAAGTATATTTATATGTATATTATATAAATCTAGTAAATGTACTGTAAATGTTGTGACATTACATATATTACATATGCACAAGCATAAGTACCGATTCAAATTGACATTAATAGAGAAAATACTAGATTGTTTCTTAACTTGCTGTCGTACATACGGCAAATTATTTGTTTAACATAAATGTACAGATTCCTTAAGTACCTAAATTGTAATATAATATAGAACCTGACAATAAAATTAAACACCAAACACCAAAGTAACATTTAACACAAAAGAATTAGTTATACCTACTTTACTTACATACAACTGACGTGAATAACTATTGAAATTTGCAATTATAAGGCATATATTTTGATAATTAACTCAAACAATGTAGCATTAGTGCTTACTATACTTAATTAAGTAGATTTGTAGTTAATTTTAGCAAATTATGAAAAAGTACTAATATTATTCACAATGCAGTAGGTAGGAAACCAATGAAGTTAAAATAATGTGATACAGATAAATAACGTAATTATCGTTTACTAACCTTAATAAAGTTTTTGATTTACTTATAATATTACCTGTAGAGTGTTGGGATAAGTTTATTATATAGTAATTTATACTTAACACCACTATAAATTACACTCGATTCACATCCAATGGTAGGTAGTTCTGCCGGTCAACTTGCATCCAATTAATTTCTCTTTTATTTCTTGTATTTCGATTTAATTCCACAAAATAATAACTGATCCGCATTTAATTCACATCCGGCTTCGATATAGGACCATGTTCTGGAGTAATCACAGCGGATTTTCGGGAATAATGAAATTAAAGACGCAGAGTAACTTGTACGACTTCTATATTTTTAACTTAATAAAAACTACAAAATTGTATGAGCACAAATCGCAAAAGTGTAGTATTTGCGTAAATAAAATAAGTAGGCGCTTTGACTTCACAACAGGCCGACTTGATTTAATACAACGCTGTATATTAGCAATATTAGTCAACGTATACCACGACGATAACTTAATCAGGCAACTCATAATAACTAAAATATATTTTTTGTAAATATATACATTACAAGACACATAGTAACCGATACAAACAATCATACTCATGAATACAAGTCATATAGTGCGATAAATCGAACCTGTAGGCCTCGCCACAGAGGTCATCAAATAATCCTTTGGGATCCAGATGATAAACGCTACTATACGAGTACGATCATATCATAAATACATATATGAATTTTTGTAACGCGAACTATGGGCTGACAAAAACTAGTTATTCATAAATACATTGTATGCACGCTGGCCTACCTACGACATAATATCTTTATTACAGTTTTGTCGTTGTGGCCTAATAAGGAGATCACAAGGTGATGTCATCCGCCTACAAGACCTGCCGCTCTTGGGCCCATTACCATAGCTACAGGCTCCATTACTTTCAATCGTTACGTCATGTCAATCATATTAATTCTACGTGGGCAGCGAGTTAGGATTATTTCATTTGTCATACAAAATACAATGCCCAATTTATACCATTTACAATTTTGTTTTCAGATACGTACTTTATAATAAACTTGCCCTCGAACATATTTTGAGAAATAATCGTACAATTAAAGTTATGGTAGTTTTTCTTTCAATCAATACTTATGCCGCGGTTCACTGAATTTTCTACTAGTCATAAAAGTTCAATAACGACGTTGTACTAAAAATGTATAAAATTTCTTTTCGTCACTGAAACTGATTTATAGGGAATTTATGAACGCTGTGGCTTTTAATTGACATTTGAAACATTACAATCTATTTTGCGTTTGTATGTAGTTATTTAGTTGTTATCTAGTTTTGCGATTACATATATTTTATAAACAATTCCAAACGTTATTGGAGACAATTTCGTTTTTAATAAAAATCAATGTTACATACAAATGGTGTACCTATCGATTTCTTTAAATTGATAATTCTTAGCGTACTCCAAAGAGTGAAGTTAATTAAATGTAGCATTATATTTAAATCATTCATGGCCATATACACTGCCGATTCAGTTGATTCAACTTGAAACAAAGTAGGACAGTTCGTTTTAGTCGCAGGAAGTAATTTAAATTTAATAAAATCGATAATAATATTAAGTCCTCATATTGACAAAATGATTGTACCATGTAATTGAAGCTAATGTAATGTAAACCTAAATATTTATAGGTGTAAATTAAATATATAATTTAAAACTGACTAATTGGCGAATGATTAATCGCCACAAGGATTTATATTTTGTATGTACAAATATACTTGTGTATACAAATCTAGGTATTAAGGAAATCAAACAACAGAGTCAACATAATTTTTCTTTTATTTTCATCACCGGGGAATGTATCGGTGCGTGCGCCAGGCAAGCGATTAAATGCGTTTAATATTCTTCTGCGCCTTCACCTTCTCCCTCAGCGGAGTCCATGCCGACCTCTTCGTAGTCCTTCTCGAGAGCGGCCAAGTCCTCACGGGCCTCGGAGAATTCACCTTCCTCCATACCCTCACCGACGTACCAGTGCACGAAGGCGCGCTTGGCGTACATGAGGTCGAACTTGTGGTCCAGACGAGCCCACGCCTCGGCGATGGCGGTGGTGTTGGACAACATGCACACGGCACGCTGCACCTTAGCGAGATCACCGCCGGGCACCACGGTGGGTGGCTGGTAGTTGATGCCGACCTTGAAACCAGTGGGACACCAGTCCACGAACTGGATGGTGCGCTTGGTCTTGATGGTGGCGATAGCGGCGTTCACGTCCTTGGGGACGACGTCACCGCGGTACAACATGCAGCAGGCCATGTATTTGCCGTGGCGAGGATCGCATTTCACCATCTGGTTGGCGGGCTCGAAACACGCGTTGGTGATTTCGGCGACCGACAATTGCTCGTGGTACGCCTTCTCAGCGGAGATGACTGGGGCGTATGTGACCAGAGGGAAATGGATGCGAGGGTAGGGCACCAAGTTGGTTTGGAACTCTGTGAGATCGACGTTGAGGGCGCCGTCGAAGCGCAGGGAGGCCGTGATGGAGGACACGATCTGACCGATGAGACGGTTCAAGTTGGTGTAGGTGGGGCGTTCGATATCGAGATTGCGGCGGCAGATGTCATAGATGGCTTCATTATCAACCATGAAAGCACAGTCTGAGTGCTCCAGGGTAGTGTGGGTGGTGAGGATGGAGTTGTATGGCTCGACTACAGCGGTGGAGACCTGGGGAGCGGGGTAGATAGCGAACTCCAATTTGGACTTCTTGCCGTAGTCCACGGAGAGACGCTCCATGAGAAGAGAGGTGAAACCAGAGCCGGTACCACCACCGAAGGAGTGGAAGATGAGGAAGCCCTGGAGGCCTGTGCACTGGTCAGCCAGTTTACGGATGCGGTCAAGGACTAGATCTACGATTTCCTTGCCGATGGTGTAGTGGCCACGGGCATAGTTGTTGGCCGCATCTTCTTTACCAGTGATAAGTTGTTCTGGATGAAACAACTGTCTGTATGTGCCAGTACGAACCTCATCTGTGGACAAGTTACAAATACATATTAATAATCAATTTATTATTTCTCTTCTGAACTAAAATCAGATTATTAAATATTAATTTTAATATTTCTTTTATATATTCAATTTAAATATATTCTGACAATTTTTCATTTACTTGTTTTTGTGTCATGTTAAGATTGTTAAAAACCCAAGTCGTGTATTGTGCAATTCATTGCAAATTTAAACCTCTAACAACAGTACAGGATCTATACAAAATAAGGATTCAATAAAGGAGTTTAAAAACCGAGTTTGCCATTAAAACCATATTTCCATTGCCTGTCACAATATGTACTACTTTAGGATAGAAAACTCGAAGACTATACCTAGGAATATCAAGTTTATTACTTTTAAACAATACTAACCAACTACAGTGGGTTCGAGGTCCACAAATACAGCACGAGGGACATGTTTGCCCGCCCCGGTCTCGCTGAAGAAGGTGTTGAAGGAGTCATCACCACCGCCGATGGTCTTGTCTGCTGGCATCTGACCATCAGGCTGGATGCCGTGCTCCAGGCAGTAGAGCTCCCAGCAGGCATTACCGATCTGGACTCCGGCTTGGCCGACATGTACGGAGATGCACTCACGCTGTAGACAAAAAATTAACAATTAAGTTTTGATATAGAAAATACAAGTCTAACGTGCTAAAATTTAAGTTATTATTAAAACAAAAGTTAAGTAATTACATTTGTTCAAGATATTATTTATATCTTAAATTTAATTTAAAGTATCATAAAATAATTCAATGGATACGCCCCATCATCAGACTGCAAGTGTGTAAAAGCACTTAAGTAAACTAGAAACAAATTAACCGTTAAGAAATGCAACGACCCGGTTCTAGCCAAATACCTACTTAACTTTATTCACTTGCTTGATTACTATTATTCGAATCATTTTTGAGTACGTAAACTGTAGATACGTACCTACTTTCATGTCTATTCATAAAAGGCAAATGGCGGAGAAAGGTGAAAGTCAATTTCATTCTGCAAATGGCGGAGATTCCAATTCCCACCATAAAAGAACACAAAGGCGCGATCTTATGATACTCATTTAATTCAACGGAAGAGTTGAGAATATAGAATATAAATATGCAAATTATAAAACTTGAAGATTGGTTATTATCTATCGGATAGCCTGCTACTCAGGTGTCGCATGAGATCACCGAACTCCGGCCTTCAATGAGGTCACGAACACGTCATCCCAGCAATAACAGGAAACAGATATGTAGCGATCTAGTTTAAATTTATAAAATTCGAAATAATTAAAAACTATTATTTAAGAAAGTAAAGTCAAGGGCGTGGCTTACTATTTTATCAATAAAAGAATGAGATGACAAGTAGTGATTATTAAATTAAAATTATTGAAACAATTGAATACCGATTTCCGTTGTTAAAAAAATAATTAACATAAATTATGACAGAATAGAATATTCTTTAATCTTAGATTTACAAGATAATACGTCGAAATGTTTAAAGTAGCTTCATATGATAAAAATATAAGTTGGAAAAGTGTCGCCTACAATAGTCGGGTTATACGCCGACAAAATGGTGGCGTGGCCACCCGGTTTATGTAAATTGCAAACGACGTAAATAAAAATTATAAGAAACATAAAGATAATATGGGATGTTTAATATAAATTATAAAATAGTACTCACCATTTTGAATTGGTTTTTTTAAAAGTATTAATAAGTTATTTAAATAAAAAGTCAGTCGTCGTTCAGCGCGACCGGTGAAGAGGTTTGCCGAACGAATATTAACGCCGGAAAATCCGTTGAAACCCCTTATATAGCATCGGTGTCACGGGGAGCGACGCTTTGAATACTAGCCTATGATTGGTGGATCGAAGTACCGCATGGGCGGCTCAACCAATAAGGTCAAAGCTACATTATATCACCATTGCGGGAATATGTAGGTTGCTGGTGAATCATTCTAAACTAGTGTTTGACAAATATCGATATCGAAAAGTAGAAAAATCTACCTGAGCACATTTACCACTACTGAGTAGAGTCATTGGTATCTGTAATATAAGAATATCGTAAAGGAATTTAATATGAAGTTTGTAATGTAATCTGCTTCTTCCTGATCCTATACATTTGGGGTCGGCATAATATTTTTTTCTCTTCCATTCGTCCCTGTTCGCAGTCATCTCCTTATTCATTTTTATATCATTTTTCACACAGTCCATTCATCTCTTTTTCGATCTTCCTCTGCCCTTATAACAGTTCACATTAATATTTTCATCAGGATATTCTCTTCATTCCTACGCATTACAAGCCCTTATTATGACAGACGATTACAAGTGTGTAATATATGTAATTTGTATGCCATTTAGTTTGTATCATAATATGCTTCTCAGTTAATAGTTACGATCTGCTAGTAACTAATGATATTCTTGATATGTAATATTTGTAGCGTTATGACGTATAAGTGCATATCTCATATGCTTATATGTTTATAAGTACATACTATAAATATGTAGTTTTTCGTGAAAGAGTAACAAACATCCATCCATACTCACAAAGTTTCGTGTTTATTATATCAAAATATTAGTAAGAAAATAAATAGTTATTTATAATTGTTTCATTTGTTCATTTAAATTGAAAATGTCGATACTATACTGCAGACTGAAAGGCACACCTAACCGTTAACAGTCACACACTAGCAAACTATAGCCATACACAGACACGATACCAATACACACATCGAAATACGTAGGCTGGGCGCCGGCCGTCTGGCTATTTCATCAATACTTTATGTCTAGAAATGTTATAGCTTTCTATAGGACATTGACAGGGTTTTTTTTTAATGAAAAATAAATAAATATGGTAAAACAAATGACTGTTATTTCGTGTATTTAAAAAAATACGATAACCTTTCTGCTGAACTATAACACCTATAAGCATAATGAATACACACACATACAAAACATTACCTACAACAACAAAGTGCAGGTCTAATTTTATTCATTTCATCACCATTTAAAGGAATATTAATGAATAAATATGTTAGGTCAGTGATTTAATTTTTACAATATATACCTATTTATATGAAATACTTCTTATTACTGTTCATCATTGCCTTGCCTTTATCCCATTATTTGTGGTCGGCGCAGTATGTCATTCTCTTCCACTGCTTTCTATCGGTCGTCATATCTGAGGATACTCTTCTTTTATTCATATCATCTTTCACACAATCCATCCATCATTTCTTAGGGCGTCCCCTCCCTTTACATCCATCCACATTCATATTATAAACTTTCCATAAGACATGATCCTCGTTCCTCCTCCTACTACTTATTACTGTTATAAGTAAAAAATACCGCCCCATCAATATCCCTAAAATCTGCAGAATGTCAGTACTTGTTGCAGCAAGTCTAGTCAAGTTGAATTTGTTTGCATGTTTTATAGGCAAACAAAGTCAACTACCCTTAATTCTATAATTAGCTACCTATTTTTACTATTCATGAACCTTTGTTTTGTTGCCCTTTCTTTATTGCCAGAGTTAGTAGGTTCATTTCTTTTGGTAAATATAGAGCATGCCTGCCGTAACGGTATACGCTGGCGTTTCTGTGGAGGAAGATAGTATGAGCATGAAGTCAAATCAGTTAGTTCTTTGTGGATAATTCACCAAGAATTAAACAAGATGGTTGTCATGTGTACATCGTGGAGGACGGCATTACTGCAGTGCAATACCGCTTTCCGATCGATCTGGAAATTCAGAAAATATTTTTATTGTGAAATACCGCCATCTAGCGAAACTTAGTTGAATTAATAAGGTGGTGAGACTCAGCGACAGTCACATTTTTTAGTCTACTCTTTGCTTTTGTTAACGCAATTTAAATCTAATACTTATACAATTAAATTAATATTACAGCAAGGTTCTATTTCGGCTTTACACGTATAAAGATTCTTTAATACCATGTAAGAGAATACAATACAATATAAATCGATTTCTTGTAATGTCGCTAGATATTCCTTGAACAAAATTAAAAATTGCTAAAAGTATGTTAATTCTTAATGTTAATGTTAATAAGTTTTTTTTAACCATAGAATGGTTAAAAAAAATATTAAGAATTTACTGTTAGCTGTCAAAATGACATTAACGCCCTATCTGTGAGACTAATTACAAGACTTCTCACAGAGGGGGCTAGTGTCCGAGCCCAATAATTGGTTCCTTTGCAAATAAGATTAATAAAATTTATAATAACCTAAACAGTAAACAGTGTAAGTGTATATCAAAAGTAATAACTAAAGACGTTTGTAGTATTGACTTCAGCGCCTCAAGCCGCAATGTAAAGACACCACCACAGATACTAGCACGTACAGAATAAAATGAAGAAACCCTCAGAGTTGTCTATTTTCCCTTCAGGGGAAAACGGACTGGTTGTAAAGCTAAACAGGTTGACGACTGCCCATCTGATAGAAAGTAATATATACTAATAATTAAAATAACATAAAGCCAAAAAATTTTCTTAATATACTACTACACATTACTAAAATTTGTAATAAAAATTACCACAGATAGGATGATATAACTATACAAATTAGCCTCTTCCCAACGAGGAAAAAACATTGCAAATGACATATAAAAATGTTATAACTACCGTCAAAAGTCAAGTAAACAACCATTTTTATATCCATTCCTAAAGAAAAGGCATAGGGTCTATATATAATTATACTTAAATAGTCTTTATTTTAATAATATTTACAAACTTATTGTAGGTACAGTTTTTTTCTAGAATATTAAAGTAATATTTAGAAACAATAAAATAATTATAACTTTCTTTTTCAATATATTTCTCACGTATTTCTATCTCATTTGTGCTGCTCATACGGATTGTTGCATAAAAGAGACAAACAGATATGAGTGAATGCGCAACACGATATATGATATTTCCGTTCGTTTTCCCGCGCACATTCAACAAGCAGAAGTGCGCGCCATCGTTATTTCGTGTGCGAACGTTTCTTGAGTGTGCGATACGAAAAATTCGAAAATCGTAAATATTATTTTGTAAATTTTATGTGTTTGTAAAATGAAATAAATAAGTTTAAGTGTAATTATACTGTGTGTTTTGTGTTGTGTTGGCCTATATACAAGTGAGGGATTTAAATTACAGTACGTATCATTTTTGGCGCTTTTTTATTATGAATATTTTTGAACATTGCAGAAATTGAACTAACCAAAATGTTGATAAATTTGAACATAGTTACATAAGTAGGTATTAGTAACTGTGATAAAATCAGATGGATAGATCCTTTTAAGGTGTGTTGCCGTTAGATTTGTAGAATATGGTCTGCCTTGAAACTTGTAATCTGACTAGAGCTTGCATGAACTCTTGAAGAAGGATCTGTTTCTTGGCAGGTTAACTGTTTATTAAAAAGAGCACTTTTATTATACGCATTGTCATAGTAAAAGTATGTAATAATTAATAACACTTAATAGGTATTATTACCTATTTTTATACTGTTCTGTCGACGTACTGGCAGTATATTTTATTTATCTTATTTTTTTATTATATTTTTAAATGTTTTATATGTTATAATTTTTTTAGCATAACTATTTTCTAAAATCATGTTCTTTAATTTGTTCTTAGTTTAATACATTTAAAAGTCCTTACTTGCTCAGGGCTTAGTGGTTACTTGCTCAGGGCTTAGTGTTTATTGAATAGGGAATTGACAAAGAACAATCAAATAAATTACAAATTATGCTAATTTGTAACTTTTTTACATAATATGCTAGACAATATTAATAAGATACATAATCCAATAATCTAAATAATACAACCAAAATAATCCGAGAGACAGTTGACTATACCTGTGACTACCCTGTCAGGGTAGTCGTGACTATTATTAAGTCGTATGTTATTACTAGTTCTTACCCGCGACTTAGTCCGTTTTTTTAGATAAAAAATAGCGTACATCCGGCCTCATGATACAATATATTTTCCTGTCAAATTTTATTAGCCATTTAGTCGAGAAAGATTACAAAATAAACAAACTGGACTAAATGACTTCAACTGAATTTCTATTCGAGGTTTATATATATTTTTGTAAAAAGAAATATTGGATTGACATATGTGACGAACTATTTTATTCTTTATTATGAACACTAAATAAACTTTATAACAAAATAAATGAGTCAATTTACTTATCCAAGATAAGATAATATTACATAAAACAACGATGGTAACTATCAAGCTTGCGGCCCATCTGATGGTAAACGGTTACGTCTGAAACACAAGGGGTGTCACGTGCGCGTTGCAACTCTGGTGTTTCAAGATAATCTAAGATGGGGCATTGCACTTAAAAGGTTGGGAAACACTGGACTAAGCCAAGTAAACAGATAACAAAGTATGTTCGGGGGGGAAAGAGACTGTTAGTAATGTGGATAATCTACCTCGCGGTTCCCCCTGGAAACCATCCTTTTTTTTATACTACTATGGTGGCAAACAGGCATACGGCCCATCTGATGGTAAATGGTTACCGTAGCCTATGGACGCCTGAAACACCAGGGGTGTCACGTGCGCGTTGCCGACCCTAATAAATAATCCTGATAAATTTGTCATGGCGGACTAACTGACCTAACCTCATGCTCATCCTATGATTCTTCACTGGTGCCCCGTCAGCGAAAACCGATAGCGCAGGCGGGTGCATCATTCCATTATCATCCGTAAAAAAAAACATACATGTTCCGTTTAAGTATGGAACATTATGATTGTTAAACTGCCTATTTCCAACATGGCCACTCAAAATTCAAATTAGTTGAATAAATAATACAGTACTGTGGTATTCGATATTTTCCAATCGCCTACACAAATATTAAGTTGCTGTCCACTCCCACGGCGAGGCACAGTTGGTTGTGGTGTTAAAAGTAAGTGGGTTGTATCTTAAAGGTCAATTGGATACCAGTTGCAGTCAATTTCGATTTTGTAACGATTCAAGCGCCATCATTTAAAGGAAAATGCATTATGGTTAGATAATATTTAGACGGATTTGGTGGTTTAGCGGTGTAGTCCGCTCTTTATTTCCGATGGTCAGGGGTTTGATTCCTCGCACGTTAAAAGGAATTAAGAATTAAAAAATCATATTTATATTTATCTGATAAAAAAAACTAGTTATATTTATATATTAATTGGAGTAACAAATTTGCTTTTTTAAGAAGATTTTAAGTAAGAATGACATCCGCGGCATATTTTTTCTATACTCACCTTAATTAAACAACCAACATCCGGCTCCTCTACTGAAAATTTCGGCTACTTTTATTTCAGAAAAATAACGTTAAATTCCACGCGGACGAAGTCGCGGGTACAGCTGGTCTTTTATAAAATTGTGACGATCAAAATAAATGGTGAGACATCACATTCTGTCATCATCCACAATCACTTGACAATTAAATGGAATTAAGCTCGCATTTAAGTTAAGGACAAAATTCCAGGAGTCCATTCAGACCTTGTACTCGTTTATAAACGCGCTTACTCACGGTTATTTTTGTGGTTTACGAAAACACACTGAAAACCGCAAGCTCTTATGCGTCAGATCAGCATCATTGAATTAATAATGCAACACACTCACTCTATTGAATATGCATATTTGTATGCACATACGCATGTTTGTAGGCAATGTGTTATTTTAATAATTTATATTTCACCTCACAAAATATATAGTTTTACACCTTTTTACAGTTTCATTTTACACTACCGACGTGATAATGCATAAACATCGTGGACTAGCTGTGCCCGCGGTTTCATCCGCGTTATAAGTCAATAAAAACTATAGCCTACATGTTATATGTTATTCTGATGCATAAACTATATTACTGTAAACTTTCATCATGATCCGTTCAGTAGTTTTTGCGTGAAAGCGTAACAAATATCTCTACTTTCACATTTATAATATTAGTATAAGGATATGTTATTCTCATCTGTAAGGTATATTACTGTTAAAGTTTCAACAAAATCCGTTCAGTAGTTTTTGCGTGAAAGAATAACAAACATTGATCCATTCATCTCGTCCATCCATACTCGCAAACTTGTGCGTTTATAATATAGTAAGACCTTGCAGTTTCATTAGCTTAATATGATAGCTTATCTTGCAGCGGCAGCGTTCTAGGGGCTGCAGATTTCAGAGGAAGTACGGTCATTTGATTTCAGATGATAAAAGTAAAACAATTAAATTAAAGAAAATTATTATTTTAGAAAACTAATATACCTACACGGGGCGGCGGAAATAAAGTAAAATAAAATTGGAGTGTCTGTTTGTAAAATAACTGTTTTTTACTACATGCATATGAATATAAATGCCGTAAATACACCTAAATAACATTTTTTACAATTTTTGTCTGTCTGTCTGTTTGTTCCAGCAAATCTCTGAAATGACTGGACCGATTTTAACGGGACTTTTTTTGGCAGGTAGCTGATATAATAAGAAGTAACTTAGGCTACTTTTATTTTAGAAAAATAAAGTTAAATTTCACGCGAACGAAGTCGCAGTAACAGCTTGTTTATAATAAGACGCCTTGAGTTACGATTTTATTACTATTGTATGGTAGTATGATTTCACTTTATGTCACCTATTCATTTACTTGGAAAGGTTAGTCATTTCAATAACAACAGATGTTTTTGAAACAAAAATAAGACGAGCGTAAAGTTGTATATTAATAGAAGTAATACAAAGAACAGTCCGGTATTTGTTGTTTGAGCTTTAGGAAACCCTTATACTCGTGTTGTAACTTCACTCGTACGTCCGTCCGTCCATCTGTCATAATATACAGCTGTATTTCAGAAATTACTAGTGTAAAATATAAGAATAATAACCGTGGACGTTTCACACAGCGCCATCTAATCCCAAGCTGTTTAGAGCTTGTGTTATGAGCACTAGACAACTGCTAGAAAAACTTTTTTTTTTGTAAATAAATCTCAGACCAATATAAACAATTAAACTTATGAATACAAATATTTGTCGTCGGCGGTTTAGTACACCGCTTTATTGCGATGGTCGCGGGTTCGATTCCTCGCACGGTGGCAAAATTTGTATGTATGAGTATGATTGTTTGTATCGATCAAGGCGTTTTCTTGTATATTATTTATGTAATTATAAAAAAAAATGTATTAGTTCTCTAGTATCCACTAACACAAGCTCTGCTTACCGTTGGACTGGATGGTGCTGTGTTAATTGTTCAGGGTTATTTATTTATTTATCGAATAAGAAAACATGCGAGGAATTTTATCGAGTCTGATCGAGGAATTGTGTGGTAAAAAAAGCTATACCACAGAGGCCGAGGTGAAGTGGGTCCGAAATGAGGGCTCGATATAGTTTATATAGGCAATACAACCTCTTATGCGTGTACCATGTCAGGTTGACCTCGACGCGGTTTCCTCTGGAAACCATAGTGGTAAATTACCATTTCTCAATATGAGCTAACAGACTTGTTTTCATGAATATTGTATCATCCTCTACCGGTGTCCCGTCAGCGTAAACCGTAAGCACAGGCGGTTGCATCATTCCATTATCGTCCTTAAAAATAAAACCTCTTTTGCGCATTATGTAAAGAGTTTGTAATTTAATTTCCTAAAGCAGCGATATATTTTTATTCTATATAGTTTTAAAATCACTAGTATCCTGACGACTTAGGCGTAATGCCGGTTAGTCAGGGAGAGAAACACCTCAATGCCTACAATATTACAATTATCTATCTCTTATTTGTTTTTATAATAATATCAACACTTTCGCTCCAAAACTCCCGCTGCCTCCGTTCAATCGTCCGTCATCCACTTGTCAATGTCACATAGATTACTTTGGCTCTGGCCTCTGACGTTCCGTTTCAGGTTACATGATTATTGACTTTACCATTTTTAATTAATGGTGCGTAACACGATAGTTAACAGTCGGCCATCCTGCAATAGTGTCTGGCCCAGACACATAGGTAACTGATGAGCGTAGTCATGCTTATCAAAGGATATAGTGTCTACAGGATCATATAACAAATACTTAACTAAATAAACTAAAGATACACATTACTTTCATAACATTGACTATCTTAGTATACTGTCAAAGGTTTACAATCTAAAATCAATACTAACAGAGCTAAGTTTCGGCATGCATTCAGAATGCACAAAA